TATATATACACACGAACGATAGGGACCCACTCCTGATTTCTTCTTTGATTTAACATATGGCTGGGAATCCAGTCCCCAATCTACCCTGTTCGTCCTACTTTTTGTGGTCTTGGGCTTGGCATGATAGCATGATGGCTCCCTCCAATCGATTGCACAATTTTTCGCATTGTCGCCCTTTTTGGCCAAGCAACCGGCGGCTACTTGGCCGCGCCCATTTCGTGTCCAAGCTGTGCCCACGGCTTGCATGCGAAATGCGAAATTGCGAAATATGAAATGATGATGATGATGATGATGTGCCATACAGACATACCCGTATTCCCCGTACATCCGCTTGAAATCCCTCCGGAATCTCTCCGGGACACTCCGCCCTCCAAACATTCCCCGCTCCGACAATATTTACTCTCAAAATATTATTCGCGCATATGGACTTGAGGACGTAATCCATAATTGGTTTGACCGTTTGCCATTTCACTCAATAAAGTGGAAAATGTTTCCAAGGATTGTGCCCCCCCACACACACAAATTCGATTAATTGGAAAGAGAGAGAGGATTTTTATTGGGTTATTGAAAGTCGATTGAGATTGGTGATTGAATATTTATTAAATTCATGAATGACATCATGAAGAGAAGGAAACTCAAAGGAACTTAAGGAATTAGTAAAGAAAAAAGGTTTAACTATAACCTATAACATATCAAACTCTACCAATTGCCTAGCCATTAATCAATGATGTTTCATAAATTATCCTAATGAAGTTACAACATGCCCGGCTAAATGCCACCCATCCATATTATTGATGAAGCCCAACTAACCGCAAGTCGAAGCCCTAAATCACTTGGTCTAATGCTCTTCAAATTAGTCTGCCATTTGTCAGATCGTTTCCACTTCCAAGAGATGCCACCACACACCAACACCCCTATTCGAATATGAATCATTCCGCCTAATGAATGTGTCTGTCACTTGCTGTCAACACGTTGCTAAGTCAGATATGTGTACATGCCCCCCCCAATTCACCGAGATCCACCCAATCCTCTATAGAATATCGTTCCCTCATAAGTCGCGGCCCTTACTCCCAAATATGAAATGGAGCAGGCCAGAAGACACAGGCAGAGGCCTCCAAATCGGCGCTGGGCTATATTTAATACAGAGTGACATTAATGTCAGGCACAATTAGTTGGGGAAGGAAAAACCGAGCGGAAAAGCGAAAAGGAAGAAAAACAAGGCATTTTCGAAAAAGAAACAATCAAAAAACGATAAACGAGGCAACCAGAAATAATTTGACAGCCCCGAAAAAGAAGAAATCTGAGATATATATTCTGGGGATGAGGCTGATCATCCGATGATCATCATTTTGTTATTGCAGCTTTCGATTTGATTCAGTTTTTTGTTCACTTCTTTTTTTTTTGTTTTTTTGGTACGTGTGTGAACCCAATGAACTAGGAAAAATCGCCCTGGCCGTGGCCTTTTGTCTGGCTTTTGTTGCCAATTCGTAAACAAACAATTACACAACAAAGCATCGGCAAATGGGCCACAAAAAACTAGATACTCCATCCACGTCGCATTAGACACCTTCCCAATGCAGACAATGGGATGTCAGAGCCTCGAGCACGGTGGCATCGACATCGGGATCGGCATCGGCATCCACACATGGCCTTATATCGAATATATAGTCTATATCTTCAATATCCCATCCCATTGTCCGACCAACTTTAATCCCGGCCTGCGGCTTCAGACATCTCAATACTCCGTTACAGTTGCAATTGCAGTTGCGATTTTAGAATGCGCTCGAATTGATCGCCGATCTCTTTGTAGTCGTAATCCCAATCCCGCCTGGGGGACGGGACCTCCGAGATCTCTGCCAATTTATAAAAAACAGCCTCAGCGCCCCTGGGCTCGGGAAAATTGTTCTTTTTTTTTGCCATTTTGCCATCTTATTGCTGTGTTGACGCTTTTTTCACACAGTTCCCTCGGCGCGTGGTATATGTGTATATAGCGAATCGGATAAAAGATATAGACGAGCGTGTTTATATTGAGCGAAGAGCAGACTAGCTACGATTTCACAGTGGGTGCTATGATAGCCTATTGATTTGGAAATGGTTAGGGATTATTAAAAGTGAAAGAAAGTGTTTTTTGAACATAAAATATGGAATATTCAAGTACCTATCTCTATTATAGACCAAATCCTTAAAAACTATCATAATTTTGTTTATTAACTTATAAAAGTTTATGATATTTGTAGCGCTCCGATATCAATTTGCCACAAAGTGTATTTTGGTCCACACCCACTGTTCCCTTCAGTGGGGCACTCGCCACTGAGCAGCAGCATCATCACCACCAGCAGCAGCAGCAGCAGGCTCCACTGTGCTGCCACAGTGGCAACCACATAAACGGGCACCGGCGGCGGCGTCTGCCGTTGGGGGCGGCAAAGATCAAAGACCAGCGAGCGGTGCCTGCAAAACGGTTAAATCTTTTGAAATGTGCGCACTTTTTGACACCCAATTTGTTTAGAAGTGTGGTCAGTAGATGGAGGAAAAGGGGGGCCAAGGGGTGTTTAGGGGAGCTACAAAGGGGGAGGCCTTCTTAAGCAGTCCATAAAATCGCAGCTACACTTGGAAACTGTTTTGTTATATCAGTTTATATCTTTTATGAAAAATAAAATGATAAATTATTTACAAATATTACTTTTAATTATAAGGTAAAATTGTAGTTTAGCACTAGTTAAAACCTATAAAAATATCTTTAAGATTGATAAGTTAGTAACATATTTCTCTCCCTGTAGAGAGCTGATATTTATGAAAGAGAGAAACAGACCTAGGGAAAATGAGAGGGGCCAGTACATCAGTGGGCTACTTTTTCTGCGAATTTCATTAATAAAACTGTCGAAAGTGTTGGGCATCAAGTGCTCTGCCCTCCATCGCATACCCAACCGCAGCCCCCCGCCTTAAAACAGGTAAAAACGGAACAATCAAACGAAACTTTTGATTTGGCATTCTTGTTTTTAATAAAAATTCAAAAGATTTACAGCACTTCTAGGCAAGTAATTCCACTTAAAATTCTATAAGAAGCACCTAAGGGATCGCTGGGAAGGGGGCTGCGCGTGGGCACTACGTTTTCCATTCATAAAAACGCTTAATTAAGAATTTTTCCAAATAAAAATGAAAGGCTTTAAGAGCGAGAGTTGGAAAATGGGATAATAATAAGTTTATTGATTTGGGAAATGCCATAAACCGGATGTTTATCCACCAGGCACAACATGATCATCGTCATCATAATGATAAGAGTTATAGAAGGGAACACTAAGATTGTAAAGAAACGTGTGAAATGTGCCGGGATTATCGGGGGTTTTTAGGAAACCGGAAGATAACCGAACCGATTGCCATTTCGCAGTTTTCCCCTCTTTGGCTTTTCAACACCAATTTTTTTTCCCAGGACCACAAAATTTCCAAAATCCTGGCTAGCAAGTTGGTAAGTCAATCCACCCGCTTAACTAAGTTATGGAATTTCCCTTCAACCATTTTCATTGCCAAAGTCAAAACATGCGGTTTGTGTGCTCGCGCATTAAGTTGGGAAAATCACCAAAGACGGAGGCTGGATTTATTTAGACAAAATGACTTTGCAAATGAGATTCCGGTGGCTATGGCCTGACCACCGAAGATGTCAATATTATCATGGTCCGGGGATTGAGACTCTCGGCCTATGCAAACAGCAGCCTTTTGGCCAAGACCAAAGGCTACCTGCTGTGCGTTGGGTGTGCTTGTAGGTGTGCATAGTTTCTGTTAATTTCCAACACCTCCGACACTCAAATATGCTCACCTCGAGCGCTCACAACGTGACCCATGGCTCCGGGTCGGGATTTGGACTCGGATTTGTGACCACTGGGCCAACCTGCCAAGTGCCACATGTAGCCATAATCGATGTGATTAGGCCGTGATGTCTGCGGAACGATCGGAGCCTAACCCTTGGCCCCCATGGACCAGTAATCAATAATTCCCAACCGGCTGGTCGGGCAACCCGGTGACGTATTTGGACAGCCACTGACAGCCAAGCAGTTCCAAAAGAAACAACCAGAAAATGGATGAAAAAATCCTAATGAAATGCCTAGATACTCTGCTTAGTTATATTTATTTATCTATTTTATGATATGAAAGTGCACTCAGTTTATATAAAGAATCCACTTTCAAATTAAAATACAAATTTAATCTTCTCATTTTCAGAGAAGACCAATAGACTTTCCTAATAATTAAAACTCCTATATCATGTCATAATGATATATTCTACATTTCAATTCAATTCAACATCAATGAATGACTTAATATACCCAATGGATTAAAGGGCAGAGAACTGAATCGTTTTGGGCCAGAAATAACTGGATGACTCGGCGGGAAATGATTGTTGGCGAGCCCCGGGGCGAGTTAGAGAAGGAAATGAGCTGCACTTAAATGCATGCGAGAAAACCACTCGATGCCAACAAGTGGATAAGAAGCCACCACACAAATGATGCCCAAACGAACTATCAATGTCAGTGAATTGGCAAAAAATTTAAACTCAATTTGTATGCAGGCCAGCGGAGTTGGAATCTCGAATGTGGAAGATGGTAGATGGTAGAAGGAGTTACGGCCACAAGGAAACCCTTTAGCTCCGGCTGACACACCTCAACGATGCAGCGCAAGCTGAAGTGGGTCCACCGCATCCAGGTCTGCCGCAGCATTAATGTACGCTGAACACCCAGTCAGATTTGTGGTATTGGGATCGATATCGGGATTGGGATTTGGGTCGGGCGGGGGGTCCAGCTCCTAAGCCGCTAAAGCATGCGTAACAATGGCCAACACGAAATCTTAATGATCGCCAAGCCAAGGAGGAGTCGATGACCAGGCACATTTTCAAATGCCCAAAAGAGCTGGCGAGTTCCATTCATTGATTCATTCAGGTCGGGCCCTAAATGAAGTGCTCCAAGTGTTTTCAACGCACGCAGGATCGCTGCCTATACACATACATATTTATATCAGTTTTCATGTTTATTATTTCATTTTTCGTACATGTGTGTGTGTGTGTATGCCATCGTATATGCCTTCCTCTGCCTCTTAACTCTAAATACAATACAAAGCGCTGGCGAATGAGTTTCGGAACATAATTAGAATTTGCAGCCAACATTTGTTAGTTAATCAATAATCAATATACAGGGTGCGTAATAATAAAAGTAGTACACATATAAAATATAAGATAATTTTTTTAAAGCGAATATAACATATGCACGTGCTAGTGAATACTCCTGGAAACACTCAATCTTTGCCTTCGAGTAACTCGATTTCAAGCCAATATTGGAAGTTGGTTTAAGGATTAAAGCCACAATCTCGCCTAAGGTTCAAAGGAGTGGGTGGGGAATTACGGGGGTTTGGGGGCCTGCATGCGGCAACTCTTGTCTTTTCACAACAATTTACTAGTTTGGTTTTGAATGTTTCGGATTGGCTCTAGATGACTCTAGTTCTTGAACTGAAAGACGAGTATCAAGATGATGACCAACAGCACGGCGCTCAGGATGCCCACCAGGATCAACTTCTTCTTGCGCACTTTGTTCTGGAAAATATTTTTAAATTATTTTAAAAACTATTTGAATGGACTATTAAAAGAACCTACCCTATAGGAGCTCGCCTTGCGCAGATTATCAGTTCCCTGCGAGACGAAAATGCTTGTCTGTTCCACCTGCGACTCAATGGAGTCCACCGTCAATCCCTGTTCGTAGACCAGAGCACCCAACTTCTTGTAGATCTCGTTTACGCCCACAATATTGCTTTCCAGCTCCCGGATGACCTGTTCCTGCTCCTCTAGCGCTTGCAGGTCAACCTGCTCTTGCATTTGAGTCTGCAGTTGCTGCTGGTTTGATTTGCGATTGAAGAAGTTATCCTCGAAAAAGGAGTTGTTATCCTGTTGGCTGGCGCTGCTGTTGGAGCTGCCAGTACGCGAAGAGCCGGGTGGACGGGCGATGTTGTAGCTATCCCCGCGCGCTTGCCGCAGCGCCGTTTTCTCTATGTCCGCCGTCTTACGCTGGACAGCCTAAAAATAACAATCGATAAACATTCGAGCATGAGTCACAAAGGCCATTTGCTTATCTGCGAAAACAAAAACAAACCTGGAAGGCGGTCAGTGCCGCCGTGAACTCGTCGACCAGCCTATCCCTCTGGATCTTCAGGTGGCGCTCCTTACACTTGTCCACCTCGTTGATTTGATTGTTTGTGTCGGTCACCAGCTGGTTGGTGTAGGTCATTATTTGGTGGCTGTTCGGGTAGGGGATTATTATGTTTAGAATGCCTTTTACGTAGGTTTGATTGGTGAATCATACAGAGATGTTTTTGATTTTTACTTTGAAAAGTCAATGATTGAATTAGATCTGCCATCAATATCTTACTCTGTGCTTGAACAATGAAAATGAGTTAATTAAGAGGTAACTGAGTTAAATACTATAAATATAAACGGTTTCCCTAACAGATGTTATGATGACTGATGGAATTTTAAGCAATTTTGAATGGAAAACTTTATAATCCGAAAATTAGTTTAAACACAGATCAAGATCCTATATCTTACAGCTGCTTCTTGAGTTCCGGGGAATCCTGGGGCGTGTTCAGTTGATTGACCATGCGCTGCATTGTGGACACTGCGAAAGTTAAGTACAAAATAGATTAGTCATAGGGGAAAGCTGGCAAATATGGATAGCACTCACCATTCTGTTGGACCTTTTGGATGCTCGTTGCTATGATCTGGGCCAATCTTTGGAAATCTATTTCACTGAGGCCACCACCTCCCCCTCTTTCACCACCACCCCCGCCATTAAGGCCATTCTCCATATGCTGCAAGTCCATGCTTTCGTAGGCAGACACTTTGGTGACCTTCAAGTTATCGCTGACGACAAGTTATTCCTGGAAGACGAACAGACAATCGAATTAGTTGCCCCACTTATATCACATTCACTTTTTATGCGTCTCAGCCAGGTTCTATTAGCTTGTTTGTTTGTTTGTCTGCTTGTCTGTTTGTCGAGCTGTTTGTGATTCAGATTCCCTTTGTTTGCTGCCAACCACCCACCTTTGTGCTTGCCCTTGCTGCCCAATTGGTGACCTTCCTTAATGGCCTTGACCTAGGAGCATCTCTATTGCACTTTATTACGTACGGCACACTGTTTGATTTGGTGATTTCAGGTCTTTAAAAGTTCGCGAAACTGCAATTTTAGTTAGGTTTTTACAATTGGAACAGGAACTGCCAACTTAAGGGAAAACAACTTTCTATCAGCAACTAAAAATTCCTTAGCGCATTCATAGCTGGAAGTGATTTTGCAGCACTGCATTTTTGTATCTTACAGCACTAATAAAGATATCGATATGTGGCGCGGTTTTCAAAAAACGTATATGGGGGTAAGAAGGTTTTACGGAATCATAACTTAAACAAAATAAAGCCTGCGAAAGAAAGATATTTAATTTATAGAAATTTAGAGCCAAACTTAAAAAATATGTCTAAAATTTCTATTATATATTTTGGTATTCTATCTATAAACAAATTTAAAATCTCTATGAAAGTTTTGTAATATTTATATATTAACACAAAACCGTCTAAGAACAAATAAATCGAACCTGTTTTGAAATATTAAAAAAAATATATTTTTTTCACCAAAAAGTCAAATTATACTGCTAGTACAATCGCTTACTTATAAACCAGTCAATACCAGAACTGAATAACTGGTAGAGAAATAAAATGCGACCTGTTTATAATAACAAAAGGAGGCGAAAGTAACAGCCAACAATTTGCGTATAATTTAATTGAAACAAATAGAAATGGCCAAAAATCAGTCTGCATATTAGTATCCGGTGTTAGACGGGGTGAATGACCTTTGAGATATGAGAAAAAATAAATGAAGTTCGGATGCATCTTCTGATTACATCATCTCTCACAGCGATTAAAGATGTTATGACATATGCAACAAACCGGATCCTGAAAGAACAACATTTTAAAACAATGTAATTTAAATAAGGGCTTTACGACAGTTTAGCCCGAAATTCCAGCTGAAAAGTTCATTTAGAAGCTTTCTAATACGAGGGGCTGGTTTTATTTATTGTCTCAGCACTTCGGTTTTTTTGTCGCTGTTTTTTCGGGGATCGTATAAATATGCCTTCAGTACCCAAATGTGGCTTAGTCGATCCGTAGAGCTCATAACGGTTTCCTCGCTTCGATCCGAGTCGAAAGTTAGTTCATCAAAATTCCGTACAATGCGTGCTCTCCGGTTCTTTCTGGCTCTTGCCCTCCAACTCACGGCGTGTAGCAGCCAGTACGAATATGGGCCAGGTGCGTGACGACAAGAACGAGATCAAGATCAGGCCGAAAAAAAAAGAAAAAAAATAATAAAAAAAAAGAGTGAGAGTGCGCCAGGCCGAAAGCAAACTCAAAACATATGCAGAATTGATTAATCAAGTGCTAAACGGAATATAAAAGGCGTCAGAGAAATAAATTAAATTCAATATTTGACACCCCATCAACAGAGATGTCAAATAATAATTTCGAAAACCTCTAAAAATTAACCCTATGAACATTTTTTCTTAAAAATGTATTTATTCGAACGGTTTCCTTTCATTTTCTATCAAAATGCTTTTTGCTGAATAAAATTTCCCTTTTAAATGATAAATTGGAAAGTGAAGTTGAAAACAATGACGATTGTTGATCAGGTCTTTTTTTTGTAAAACGACAGGTGTGTTTGGAATTGTAAATTCTTGACGTAGTACTTGAAATCATTCCCATATCCGCCGGTAAACTCTTTAAATAATTATTGTCAGATTACATTATCTTTGCTGTAGGAATAGAGTTTAAAACTTGAGAATTTTTTATGATTTTTCAATTTCAGTGCAATCCTGGGACCTGGATTCCATTTCCGAGTTGAAGAGTAAGGAGTTTTGGTTCCACGATGCCCAACGGACACTCTACGAGAAGCTGTCTACTGCACCAAATCAGTATCGTGCCAAGAATGTGATCTTCTTTTTGGGTGATGGTATGTCCGTGCCCACTGTAACCGCCGGAAGGATCTATGATGGACAAATACGCGGAGTGGTCGGCGAAAGGAATCGGTTGGAATTTGAGAAGTTTAACTATGTCGGTCTGTCGAAGGTGGGTGTTTTTACTTTACAAATATAAAGGTTATTGTTATAAAAAAAATAGAGCACACCTCTTCATAAATATTTACTAGGTTACTTATTAAAGTTATACAAAAAGCTTAAATCATGTCATTTGAAAATTATAGGTTTTCTTTTTAGATCATAAATCAGTTTAAGAAGTGGCTTGACTGAAAATTTTAAATAATGTATATAACCATTTTCTTTCAAAAGAATTCTACCGCGAAATCATGTGTGAAACCAATCAATTGCTAATTAATTTATGAAATCTGTTGATAAATGTGCTAAAACTATTAGTGATAATTGTTTAACCCATTTTTTCCATTGTAGACCTATTGCGTCAATAAACAGGTGGCTGATTCTGCCTGCACGGCTTCTGCCTATTTGTCCGGAATCAAGGCCAACTATCTGACCATCGGAGTAACCGCTGATGTAGAGTTGAACGACTGCAAGGCATCCCGGTTACCACAGAATCGACTTTCCTCCATCGCCGCCTGGGCGCTCAAAGGAAGAAAATCTGCCGGATTAGTGACCACAACACGAGTGACCCATGCTAGTCCAGCTGGGGTTTATGCCCACACATCGAACCGTGACTTTGAGAGCGACTACGATGTTTCCAAATTGGGTCAAAATCCAGGAAATTGTCCGGACATTGCACAGCAGTTGATAGACGGAGATGTGGGCAAGCGATTGCGGGTGGTGATGGGTGGAGGAACCATTAAATTCCTGCCCAATACCACCACTGATGCATACGGAAACAAGGGTCAGCGCTTAGATAATAGGAACCTTATTGATGAGTGGCAACAAACCAAACCCGGTAATGCCAGAGTGGTGTTCAATCGCACAGATCTCTTGAACAATGATCCTCAGAACACAGACTTCCTGCTAGGACTGTTCAATTCATCCCATTTAGCTTACCATCTAGATGATAGCATAGACACCCCCACTCTTAGTGAGATGACAACAGCTGCTATAAACGTTCTTTCCCGGGATCCAAATGGATATTTCCTATTCGTAGAAGGAGGACGGATCGACCATGCCCATCACGAGACAAAAGCCAAAAAGGCTCTTGATGAAACCGTCCAGTTTTCGAATGCTGTAAGGAAGGCAAGGCAACTGACAAATCCCTGGGACACTCTGATCGTGGTAAGTGCGGATCATGGCCACACAGTCACGATCAGCGGCTATCCGGATGTAAATAACAGCATAGTGGGTCTGAACTCGGAGTTGAGCGATGTGGATCAGTTGCCATACGCGACCATCTCATATGCCAATGGACCAGACTACGAGAGGTTCTACAAGTCAACAGATGGAAAAGTAAAACGCGTGGATCTCAGGTCCTTGGACTTCTCAAATTCAAATGCCATCTACCCGCATGGAGTGCCCATGACAGAGGAGACTCATGGCGGTGGTGATGTGGCCGTCTATGCAAATGGTAAGTTAGACGAACTCATGTAAAATTTATTTATTTTATTTTTACCAATTTTATTTTGTGAAATATATTTTACAGGTCCATGGTCTCATCTCTTTACTGGAGTTTATGAGCAAAGCACTCTTCCACATTTAATGGGCTTCGCTTCTTGTCTGGGACCTGGAATTACATACTGTGATTTACAACCCAAGGCGAATTATAATCCTTAGATAATTAATTTAACATAGATGCAATTAAAAATGTACTTAGTTATTAGTTTTTCCATATTTTATACAAACAAAAATTAAACGAAATCTCACATACGCTTTTTAACTTCAATATATATTTCAATATTGATACTTTCGGGTAATCGAAACCCAATTACTAAAATTATCGATATACTTTGATGCCCGTGGTATATTTCGGCGGTACATGAACGGTCATATTAAAATCAGCAATGTGTCCTTTGTTTTCATTTAAAAGAACGTAAATTGTTTCAACAAATTCCCGAGTAATTAATAGTTGTTGATGCGCTCCGATGTCAACCACAAATTACAAGGGTTCCCCGGTTAAGGGCAAACAGTGCTTTGAAGCAAGAGAACTAGAAGTTCAATCTGTTTCTACTAACGTTAACCAGAAAAATCTTGATTCTAATGACGATACCGAAGTATTTCAAGTAGATAGTGTATTAAATAGAACTATAGGTACGGCAAAGAGGTCCAAGAAACCAATGAAACGGCCTCTTCCGGAGGAAGCTTCTCTCCAGAAACTGAACTGGAAACGAAACCTTCGAGTCCTGATCTCGAACCTGTACATGAAGAGCGAGGATCGTCTGCCAGGAGCATGTGTCCCCAAATGTCTTCATAATACCAGTCTGTGCACTGATAAGCATCGTTGCTCCAATCTTCCTGATGCCCCTAACTTTACAGCCGTGCAGGCCTTACGGACCACGCTGCATGGCCAGCACTATGATACCTTCTTGGACATCCTTGAGATGATGGCGCTACAAGGCGTCTACCCGGGCGAAGGAGTCTTTGACCGGCTTATAGATATGACCATGGTTAGGATTGTGTGTGCCTTAAGTGTTGTATTCCAATAATACAATTGTCTTGCAGATTCTAATTGCTAAGGAAATAAGCGTCAAGGAGCTGGGCGACACGTACAACAAGCTTATACGCACCTTTTTCCTTCTGGTGGACGCGTTTCCACCCTGCTGGACCGCACTGCGACCGTACTATTTAAATTTCCTGGGCGTCAAGAACACCGTCGAGCGTGAAAGGCGTTCCGCCGAATCCCCTCAAAAGCTGAAGTTTTATCTGGATCTTCTAGAAGAGAATCTCACCCAGTGCAGTGATGAGGAGATCCGCGAAAATACAAAGTTTTACGAAAAGTTCGTCTTCAATTTTTCGGAGGAGGAAGATGCTAATATGTCGCAGGAGACCGTCTTTTTGCGTCATGTTCAGCAATACGACTGGATAAGTGGCAAGCTCTGCCTTGACGACTATAAGAGAATGTCACCCGCAGTCCGTCTGGCACGGCTTTGTGATGTTCTAAATATGCTTACATGGGTTTTAGAAATGGAGTTCCTCTCTTGGCTGGATCATAACAGGCTAAGGCAGTCGGAGATCTTTCAGGAGGATTTCGAGCCATTTGCATCTAAAGTATTCGGAATGTCTGCTAAAACGCGGCTTACTGATATTGTTAAGCAAATCATGAAGCTTTATGGACAGGCAGCAGCGAGATCCATGTACCCAGAACGCCAGAGAATTCTACAGGTTAGATTCCGTGTGATTTGATTTAAAGCTTTTGTAACATTTCCATTTCGTCAGCGCCTTATATCCCTGATCATTGAGTTTAGCAACACGGCCGAGCTAATATACGTGGATAATGCCGTAATCTATCCGAGTCTTGGCCCAAAAACCCGTCTGCTGATTGATGACTTCTTTAAGATCTTCAAATCACAGAATCATAAAAACGTCAAAACTTACTTAAAAACCATTTCGCAGTTGGATCTTCCGTACCTTCGCTTCGAGTTCACGGACCACTTTCTGCAGTTGTTCTACTTTCCGAAGAAGCCCTCTTTTGGACCGCAAAAGGTTGTCGAAGAGTTCAAGATGCGTCAATGGATAAAGTACAAACCAAAAAGCGAGATTAAGGATGGTAACGACGAACAGTTGTCTCGTGAGGATTACCTCGCAACACTTCTCACCGCCTTAAAAGACTACGACAAATGGCTCAACCTCGGCGGCTTCTGGAAGTACCTGCAGTCGAAGGAGCCAGTCCAGCCGTTGACTACGAGAGCCGATGGAACGCTGTCCACGCCATTGGTTTCGAACGAAGCGGGAAAGGTGTTCATCCTTGAAGAAATGGAGGAAGACGAGCTCACCTGGAAGAAGCGCATGAATAGAAAGATGATTATAAGCCGGCCGACGGTGAATCTACCGGTTGCTAAGATCAATGTGGCCAAGGTGTGCGTGCGCTATGGCGAAGACGTGCGGCAGATGCGCTTCTTACGGCGATTCCTGCAAAGCGAAGTCCAAAATGAGTTGGACGTCTCGAAGTGGTTAACCTATTTAAATGGTTTCCTGGGCGATGTAGAGGAACCAGATTCTGTAACCACATCTACATCTTCCATGACAATATAAGCCTAGATTTGAAGCTCAAAAGTGTTTTAAGGCTTATCATACCAAAAGTTCAATTAGTTTTTAGTTGTATTAAGTTTGGCTAGAAGTTATCTTGTTTTTTGTTTTTTAAATAAGAATACATTTGATTCATTGCCATTTGTCATAGTTTTCGTTTCTGTATTTCTCCATTGCAAATATATATTTATGCTGTAACTAAATACACAATTACGTACACATTTACATATAAATACAGCTACTGCGCATGTACATACATACATTAATAAATATATATGTGTATAATTATACAATATTATCGCGATTTGTTTTTAAGCCTTTTGCTTGTTTGTTTTTGTTTCTCGCAGTTCCGCATCCATCTGCCACCTCTTTTTTCCTAACGTTTCTTGTCTTTGTTCATTGTATGTCTAAATTCTTTGCAGTTTTACATTTTACATACTCAACTATCATTAAATTAGGCTCTTAAATGCTAATCTCACTACGTCTCTTAGATGTAAGGTATATGCATACGCGTGGGAGGGTTAGGGAAGCTGTGTGCAGAGCTAAGATTTTAGAAACTTTGCGCTTGAAGTCCGATGTGCTTTCAATTTTAGGAAATTTTTTTAAAGCATCCAATTAAAGTCTCTTTGGATCTTAGATCCTGTTGGAGAAACGCATTGAAAGCTTGAAAAGATGTACTCCAAATATGGATTCAGGCATTGCTCATCAAATCTTTACTCTGCTAGGTTGGGGTTTCGGTTTTTCGTTACTGCTGGCTGTCTTGCTTTCAATTCGTTAACACTACACATTTATCAACATTTATTTATTATTTATATAGGCTAGGTTTTTGTTTAATGTATCTCCAGTTCCCGTCTTGCAATTGATTCGTATACATTTGGGGATTTTTGTTTTTGTTGCGCTTTGAAATCTATAGGAACTTGACGCAGGTGTCTTTTAAGTTTCGACCCTTGCTGCAGTTTTTAAAGGTATTTAAAGGCGACCAAAAATTTGAAACAAAGGTCAGTCGGGCCGTCAGGAAACCAAGGTTAACAGAGAATATAAGGGGTTAACATAAAAAATCGCATGTTGTATTTTTAGAAAATATTATTTTCTCTTTTAAAAAGGTGTGTTTTTTTTTTTACAATTTAGTTAAACTCTCTCCTTAACGCCGCTGCTTTCGCTTTATACATACAAATTGGAGTTGGGCTTTGTACAGAACTTGTTGCTTTTTCCTATCGCATAATCGTAATTAATTATGAATTAATTAGCGTTAGTTTGTGTTTACTTCATTAACTAATATTTAAACGAAGGCTAGCGTGACAGCTTTTGTGTATCCAAATTATGCCAATGCAGAAATTAAAACTATTAAGACTAATCAATTAAAATTAACAAAACGCTGCATTTAAAACTATGGCTCTCTAGGGACTACGAAATTATATAGTTGTTTTGACCACTTAAGACTATTAGAATTTTTTTTGTTTTCCGTTTTCTATTTAGGGTATTGTTTATGGATTTTTCGATAAGTTCACAAAATTAAATAATTAAGCTAGGAATTTTTTAAAAACAAATTGTATTTGTGTTTGCCCAGACCAAAAACACGCCCTCACAAGATGGCGAATAAAAAAACGTCGACCACCATGACTTGTAGTCAAAAGTGTACGACAATTTCTCTTAAACGTTAAATGCTAAATTAAACAATTTAAAAGTGAGTTGGATTAACAAATTTAAAATTTGATTCGGGTTCGCACTTTGTGAAGAATTTTAGTTACTTTTTTCTTACAGGCAATGACTTTTTGCTTATTAGGGATTTAGTTTTCTTTTTCTATTTAGCAATTTAGTTTCCTTCTAGTTATGGTTAGGATTATTTAAGTGAGTAGAGAGTGTATTAATCTATTTCCGGGTCTGAGAGGGATTTTCAATGTGAGATAGGGTGCGCTGTTATGTAGACAACTCTCCACTAAGGTCTTTCTTCTGGTTTTAAGTTTAGTTTAGCTTTTCTATTAGATTTAGTATATGTGTTTCTGTTTATGGTTTTCAGTTGCTTTATATGGTTTGTGTGTTTTGTTTTTCTGGGAGCTCTGGGTGCTGGTGTTGGCGCCTTTCGTTTAGCTACTTTTGAAGCGTTTGCTATACATTCATCTTGGTAAGTTCTTAGTCACATTTAAACCTTAACAACAACAACAATGTTCGCTACAATTAAACAACTAACAACAACGTAAGCGTACACACCAAACATGGCTCACTTCTGGCTCGATCGCTGCTCCTCCTCATCGTGCTCCTGATTCTCCAATACATCTGCTTCCATATCCGGCTCCGCCTCTTGCTCGTCATCCTCGTCCACATTCTCCTCCTTGAGCATGTACTCGAGGAGCAGCTCATCGACTCATCCCTCGCGCTGCGTTGCCGCCGCAGTAGACGTCGTGGCTGTGGCACCATTCGATGGTGACTCGACCTTGATCACTCCCAGCTGCTGCAGCTCCTCGCGTGTATGCTGTATGCGTCCCACCACCACGCCGCCCATGGTCACAAAGCTGCCGTCCGCCGTCACAGCGCCCAGCTGCATTGCACTGGAAAGATCGCCCAGAGACGCCACATTGAAATGGTGGTGTGGCGAGCCATCCTGAATGTGTTGTTGCTGCTGCTGATGTTGGGCAACTGTTGTGGCGGAGGGTAGCGTGGTTATAGTGACTCCTCGCTGATCGACATGCTGCTGTTGGGACGGAGGATGGTGCTGATGTTGCTGCTGTTGATGGTGGTGCTGGTGTTGCTGCTGCTGCTGGTGCTGATGGTGATGTGCCGCCAACGCCATGCGTCCTAGTCACCCCTCCTCTTCCTCCGTTTTGATTTTTACAGGAACGTAGACTTTGTCCATAACGTGGATTTTTATGTGGTTATTGAGCGTGCTAGACTGCCGGAACTGCTTCTTGCAGATGACGCACTCGAAAGGCTTTTCACCTGAAAAAAAAGAGACGAGTCTTAGTTTTTGATAAATTCTGAGATAGTTTAATGCTTTACTTACCCGTGTGGATCTTCACATGGTTAGCCAGAGTGCTTAACTGACGGAAATGCTTGGGACAATAGTTGCAATTGTAGGGCTTCTCGCCCGTATGGATCTTCAGATGGTTCGTCAGCGTCGACGATTGACGGAAGGTCTTATCACAAACGTTGCATTTGTAGGGCTTCTCGCCAGTGTGGATCTTTACGTGGTTGGTCAGTGTGCTCAGCTGCCTGAAGCGACGATCGCAGACGGTGCAATGGAAGGGTTTCTCCGGCTCTCGGACTGCTCCTCCACCGTTACCCTCGCCGGGATGCTCGCCATGTCCGTTGGCCAGGTAATGATCGCCAGGGATCGTTGTTGGACTGTGCGAGGTTAGATGCGTCAGGTGCGGTGGCGGTTGCGGCACTGCCGGTTGTTGTTGCTCCGCCGCTGCAGCCTGAGCCGCTGCAGCCTGGGCAGCTGCCATTGCCGCTGCTTGAGCGGCACTGTGCGCCTCCGCAGAGATTCCGTGCATCTGGAAGGGCAAAGGAAGTTCCGTGGGCGGGGGCGGCACAGATGGAGGTCCGCTCGACTGCTGCTGCTGATGATGCTGCTGCGGCTGTTGTTGTTGTTGCTGCTGCTGTTGGACCGCCGCCATGTGAGCGGGATGCGTGGCCTGGGTGACCGTCTCATTGTTATTATTATTTGCTATGGTGGTTTGTGGCTGGGCGGCCACTATTACAATGTCGCAGTTGCTGCTCATCGCCGTGGCAGCGGCATGGGCATGGGGCAGGCTCTTGATATGCATCATGGACTGCTCGCTGGGATCGGGGACTCGGACTCGGATTCGGAATCGGAGATGATGGAACTTTGAGGGGGGACTGTGGTACCTCTGTGACTTGAACAGAAAGCTAGCTAACAAACTAAGATCGATGCTTCAAAAACGCCACGACATGCTCATCTTGGTCACTTCTTTGATGTTGTTGTTGCTAGTGCCTAGTTTGGAGAATGGAAATTGGGATTAGTCGAGGCGGCGGCTTTGCTTTTTGGTATGCAAAAATATGTGAGGAATTCCCAAAAACACACGAAATACCTAACTGCGAAATTATAAATCTAAATTATTCAATAGCTGACACACTTCGCTAACTGGGCTCCCATTTCCTCCTCCTCTTGCAGCCCTCTTTCCCTACTTTCCTAGCGTTCTTACATTACGCTCGTAGGAAAACTATCAATTTTTGATCATTTCTGAAGAGCTTGCTAAAGTGTTTTAAAATAAATAATTAACACAGTTTCAGATGCCAAGAAACCCTCTTACCAATTTTTAATAACTTCATTATTTTACAACATAAGAAGATATAGTTTTCATAGAAGTAATTTGTCGAACATACAGAACTTTGATTTTTTATAAGTTATTTACATACATTGAAATTGGAATATGATCGTTTCATAAGACCTTCTTGAATAAGATAAAATCGGATGGCATTAAGCTGTATTATCATAATTTCCCGGCAATTTCGAGGGTATAAAAACTTCGACTTCGTATCGATAAAGGGCATAAATTATAAAACATACGATTATGCATTTTAAAACAAAATAAATACGCGCGCGTTGCCTGCATGCATGTAACTTTTTTCGAGCGCTGGTTTTTACGTCCGCCGGACAGGTTACCTGGAACGCCTCCCGCTCACCGCCCCCCTCACACACACACACAATCACAAACCATCACACACACACTGGTATCTCTCTTTTTTGTGGTGAACTGACAGCGTGTTACTTTCTCGCAAATTACATGTGTTTTCCTAGCAACTAATAAACTTACTAATAATACAATCCATTCGAAAACTATCAAAGGCTAGAAGAGATCACCTGGATTTCGAACTGACCTTTTTTGGGCGGGCTTTTTAGTGCAGATTTTCCCTTTTTCAAAAGCAGTTTTTCCACTAACACGTTGCCTTCAGATCACCCCTCTCGCTCCCCCTTTACCTAAAAGTCACAACCACTTTCAGTTCCACACACACACACTCGACACACTCATGCACAAGTACTGTGTAAAAGCTCTTTTGAGGTTAGGAGACTTTTAATTTTGGAGCTCTCTGCTCGAAAAATGTCCATTGTTTTTCACACTCCTTTAATTGATATAATAACCAGGTGATTCTGATTGGCATTGGGTTATACTGAATCACACACTTGAACTCTTTTCGGGCGCCCACACATTGACCTACCTTTCCATTTTGTGGCTGTGCTGTGTGGGGCCTTTCAGGTTTAGATTTCCCCCCGTTTTACATCATTTTCCGCACTCGAATCGGTTTTTTGGGGAATATAGGCCGTCAGCAGGGTGTTCGCGCTTTGCAATCGCCTCTCAAAAACGGGGCCTCACAACATTATCTGTGGCTGGGTCTTCATTTATAAAAAGCGTATAAACGTTAGAAAAATAGTACAAATATTTCTTTTCTTTTTTTACTGTTTCGCGTACAAAATAGACGCGAATGAACTAGTGCCAACTGGTGATGGACGATAGTCATAAGGAACCTGTTACTGGTTACGAGTGTGATTAAATCACGATCATTGGTCGTGACTGGGTGGGCAGTTGAGGTTTTATTTATACAAGTAATAAAATTGCTTAGTATAAATTTCAAAGTTAAGTTTAGGTTTTCTGCAATAAACAATTGGAAATGTTTTTTAGCATAGCTTATGCAATAAGAAAAATTCATCACACTTGACTAGTGAAAAACCCTTGTCAGTATGGACAAATAACAATTTATATATATCATATATTTTACGTTTTTAGTTTTTAATTTTAAGTTCAAGAGATTTTAGTTTCAGAGCCATGGCTACCGAAAGTTCCATCACTATTCCGAATGAGCTAGTTCCGTTGGTGACATTCACTTGTGGACGTGAAAAGTTTGTTCTGTTCTTTTCTTGGCTTTTTTCTCCCGCCACAGTACGGTCACACTTCCCGGTGTAAAAACTTTTTATGGCAATTTCGTTTGCTTTATTTTCATTAAATTGTACTTCAAGACCAAATGCAATTGCTTAGAAAAGTGCTGGCGCTGGTGCATGTTTTATAAAATAGTGCAGACCCGCGTCGCCTGTGACTGATCGCCATGTGCCTGTCCATTGGTTAAGCTCAGCTCGCTGTTCACCTTGTTTGTGTTTTTGTTGTGAATTCCAACCGGCGGACGCACTTCATCTATTTTTGTGGAAATATATGATTCAGGTGAGTTTATACTTTATTTTTCGTATGTAAAAACAAATAATAAATACCTTCAATACGGACTGCCCTTTCGTTGCGGCACGAGAGCCTGTCTATCACTTGCTGCATGAATCCCTTGGCGTCTTCCTCCTTTTGCTGGGCCAACGCCTCAACATGAGAATTGGCTCTTAGTTGCATGGCCCGGATGTCCTCCTGCATCGCCTTCTTGCTGCGCTCCACTACGGCATCTAGTGGATCCTCAAAAGTATTGCTGGGCTCGAAAATATTCCCATTGCCATTGCCATGTCCTGCAGAATTATGGTTGGAGTTCACAGAGGCAGTTGTTCGTTCATCCTCCTCGTTGGAACCCAGTGTCGTAGTCGTTTTGGGTGCTCCGTCCTTGGATGACAAGTCATCATCGCCGCGAGGTGTGGATACTGGCGTGGTTTGAGGGTCAGCCTCCCTTGCCGCTTTTATCTGAAACAACGATGAAATATTCTCCTTGGCGCCTTGCACTTCACTGGAGATCTTGTTGGTCACCGAATCCATAGCCCTGCCCATGGAATCCTTTGTATCTGAAGCAGCTTTGACCGCATTACTCCCGGCCTGCTCAACTGCATGCATTGCATCGCTAGCCATTCGCTGGGCACCCTTTCCCGCTGCACCTACTGCCCCACCGACGGTTTCTACTGCGCCTCGAGCTCCAGTGGCCATTCGCTCGCCAACAGCCTCCATGGCATCACGGGCTCCATTTGCTGCATTCCTTACCGCCGTTTGGATGGAATTTCGTGTGGAGTCCATGATATCCATTGCTTCTTCTCCAGCCTTGGTCGCAGCCTCTTCGGTGTTCGTTACAATTTTGTCCACATGCTCCTCCACATCCTGAAGCATTTGCTCTCCATCGGATTCCAGCTCCTCCACAGAGCTTTCTAGTGGTGTGTCCGGCATTTGTTCCTCCACCTTGGCCGTGACATCCACACCATTGTTTATAAAGCGTATTTCATTGATCATCTTACTGCTGTCCTTAGAGTCCTTCGTTGTGGTTATCTCCACAGCCAACTGTTCGTCTTCTTCCGTGGGCGGGGTTGGCGTGTTCACTTCAATTGTTGCTGCAGGCACCTCCTCCACCGTCTCCAGACTAGATACTAATTCAGGAGATGTTCTCTCCAGGTGATCATGATCCATAGCTGCCTCGTAGGAAAAATTCCGTATAGGAGTCTTTTTTATCGTTTGCGGTGTGCTGGAATCGCTGCTTTCCGGATACGGAGTACGTGGACGCAGTAGTTTTTCCTGGCTGCCTGGAAATTTTTGTTGTTGATTTAATGATTGCATAGAGTGTATTGATTTTTCGGATTTTAGAGATTCTGAAGGGGATTTAGGCGGTGGCGGTGTATGTGTAGGAGGAGTTGGTAGCTTCTGCATTGATTCCACGGCTTTAACTGAGGATGTCATTGATTTAATTGGAGATTCTATAGTTTTTACTGGTGAATCTGTTGGTTTATCTGGGGATTCCATTGATTTTACTGATGATTCAACGGTTGCCGTTGGTTTTATAGGTGATTCAACAGGTGCTGTGGGCACCATCTCCTTGTACTCATCCTTCGTTTTGATTGCCTCGCTTTTGGGAGCTGTTTTGGTATGATCTTCAATTTCTTGCTGATGTTCCATATCTTGATTATTATTTGCAGGAGTTTTTGTGACTTGATCTTCCATTTGATTTGGTTCTTCCTTCAAAGAACTGTTTGGATGTGTATCCTTTTCTTCGTTGCCATTTTCCTCCTTATTTTCCATAGGCATAGAGTCCCCACTTTCCATATTTGCATTTATATCTTGGGATTCATTTGTCACCTCTCTATCATCTGGTTTCTCCCCATTGATTAAATGCTTAACTGCTTCCATGGCCGCTGCTGTTCCAGCTCCTGCTGCAGCTGCCAAACCTCCCACAGTAGCCGCCATTGATCGCTCCTCAGTCTCCTCCACTCCTTGTTGTTTGGTGAGACTTCTTCCGCTATGGCTCCTGACCTGCTCTTCGTTTCCATTTGCATCCTGCGGTTGCAGCACGAAACTGCGGCTCATATGGCGACTTGGTTCAGCTGAACCATTGACAGACGCAGACGACATTGAGGAGCGCGGTATGCCCTGCACCAGGACGTGCTGATCTCCCACTGCGATGTCCAGAAGCCGGAGGTTCTTGAATTTAGAGATCTCGCGGAATGTCTTCAAATGATGGCCGCTTTCCGAAAACGTGGTGAAGAACTTGTTCGCCTTGCTGAGCACCGCGTAGAAGGAGAATCCCTTAAGAAGCTTCCAGATGGGTCCGTTCTCCTCGCTGTCGTAATCGTAGAAGCGCTGGAAGACCAGGCTCTTGTTCCGCACCGACTCAAAACTCCGATAGATGCTGCCCGCATTGGTCACGATGTACACTTCGCTGGTCTTGGATATGTGCATAAAGATGATGGCCTCGGTGGGCGGCAGGTTCTTCTGCAGCTCGGTGAAGCGCGGAAAGACAAACTCGTTGAGGTGACCGGTGAGAAAGAGATTCCCGCTAGCTGTCAATACCAGCGTTGACTCGGGTCCGCAGGCAAACTGCTGCACCGGGGCATCCAGAGTAATCTCCACCGGATGACCGTCATAGTCCGCCTCGAGTTCTCCCAACTGCTGTTGGGCATTTGAACCGCATCCAATCAATCGACCAGAACCTTTTAGAGATAAAGTATTCAAATTAAATCATTCTGATTGACGTTTTCTGAGACTACTTACTAGTCAGCACGGCAAAGTGCTCGTTTCCCGCTTGGATTGCCATGAAGTTGTCCGTCTCCTCGCTTTTGGACAGATAATCGTCAAACTCCTCCAGCCGAAAAGGCTTTCGTATGATGGCGCAATGGTGCTGCTCCACTTGAGCACTGGTAAAGTGCTGGGCCACATGGGTATCCTCGGGAAAGATGTTGCGGCCAGTGAAAAAGATTTCATTGGAATCTGTGGGTTTTATTTTGTTTCGGTTATGAGTATTTTATGTTAGGTTGTATTTAGTGGAAGCTGGCTTAACTAACACAGCACTAGTTAGGACTGCACTCAGAATACATTAATATTTCGTCTTTATGGGTTAGCTCCCCTTGAATATTAAATAATAATCAGAAAACTGTGCTCCAAAACAATCATCAAATTGCTACTATTCACTAAACTTTTTCCCTTAACAAAAACTTTCTGTTGGACCAACTTGCTTAGTGATACATTGTCCAAGTTAACCAACTTCCACAGCATTTGTTGATTCACTCACGTGTCAGCATCACGGCCCAGTGATTGCCAAAGGCGGCGTCGCAAATCTTTAATCCTAGTGTTTTCAAGGCCTTCACGCAGGTGGGTTTGGTGATGATGTCTCCCCCGTTGCCACCCTTCTTGCCCGAGGCTCCACCATGTCCACCAATCCCGAGCTGCCCATAGTGGTTCTCGCCCCAAACAAATAGTCGACCAGATTCTGTAATTGATAAGAACGGTTTGACATTTGCTTTGGCGTTTGGCTTTCACCTGCTGCTGCCTGCCGCTGGCTTTTGTTTTTATTTTGCTTTATTTTGTTTTATTATGTTTAGCGGGTTAGGGTTGTTCCCTTTTCTTGACTTTTATTGATTGAGAAAGTGTGCGCGAGTGTGGGTCAATCCGTCAATCCCCCAATTCCTCAATCCCTTAGCGTTTCAACTGTTTAACTGCTCCCCCGCAAAAGTTAACGCCTCAATTACGTTAGCTTCGGTTTTAGTTTCAGTTTCGGTTTTTTGGCTTTTGGTTTTTTTGGGTGTTTACTTCGTGAGTTTGCTCCATATTTCAGTTATTTTAACGCCGCGTCTGACCCCATTAGTTGTCGAAGTTGCCGTGATTTGGAGTGCTTGGTCAGCTCTACCCATAGTTTATCATGGATTTAAAGCTTATGTAATGCGGGTTAAATGTGGGACAAAGTGTATTGAAAGAAATCTATTAGATAATTGTTTGATTGATGTAATTGTTATATTTTAAGAATGCTCTTTTGAGAAAGAGGAACTTTTGTATATTTCCATTAAAAACGGATAGTTTTTCTTGACGTGTACGAGTATGTTTCTCAAGACGAACAGTATTCAATTTGGGTGTGGATTAGCCGGATGAAATATTCAAAACACCCCTGCAATACACCTAATCGTGGTTACAAATTTGTCGAACTGCAAGAGCCGGTTGTAATTTAGTAATTCAATAGACCCTGCAAGACACGGATAACTTGGCCAGAAAGCACGGACCAAAGACTGGGCCAACAAGAAAGTGAAAGTTAGCTGAACGCCCCAGCTTATTATTATTTAAAGAAAATTGCACTCAACATGCAAGGCGGGCAACATGGAAAGCACAGACAACCGACAACCGCCAATAGATTTTCACTTGACCACTTGACTTGAGCGGTTGGATTGGTTGACCACGCGAAAGGATTTTGGGGTCACGTAGTAGTTACCACAAATGACAGCGCTCTGGTTAGGACCGGAAATCAGGCGCTTCACTGGATCGTTTTTGATGTAGAAATAGCTTTGGGTATTCTCAGCCAAATGGGATTTGCCCAGGGTGAATATGGCTCCGCTGGCAGGTATATCCATTTCGAGTTTGTTGTGTCTTTTTTTTGCGTTTTAAACTTTATGTAGATGGATTTTGTTAGATTTTTATTGATTTTATTATTAGTGAGTCTTGCATATTTTTCACCGGCTGCATTTCAAATGTTTATGGGTTGCCCCCTAGGCGCACATATATGTACACAGCAAAAACATTGGAGTTGCGTGCTCCCAATTCCCCGAGGCGGTTATTTCCGTGGCTATTCTGGCCGGCACTTGCGGTCAGTCGGACGATTCAGCGCGTACTGGTCAGCTAGGACGACTGGGGTCTAGCAATCTAGCAGGCTAACTGGCTAACCTGGCTACCTGGCTAGCCACTAGCCGGTAGCTCACTCTCTCTCTCCACCCACAAATGGGCCATCAATATTGGGCCATTTGAACTGGCCTGGCCCTTATAAGTGTGCTATGAAAATGTGAGCGGGTGAGTTTTTCCCCATATTCATAGAGTGAGTCACCCTACTCCGTCCGTTTTTCCGAGTTAAGTTATTCCGTGCGCCCAAAGAGCGAGTATGGGAATTCGGTTTTATTTTTTGGGTTGGTGTTTCGGTTCGTTGCCCACTCCCTCCATGGTATTTATGGCATTTGTGAGTAATGTTTGCAAATCTCTTGGAATACGAGCGACGTTAAAAATAACATTATTATATATGTATATATGTGAGCGGGGCGTTTCTTTTCCCTTTCATTTCGCCTACGTCCCGGTTTCGTCTTAAACCCCTCTAGCCATCACTTCCCTTTCCCCTGACCTGTTGACATTTTGGGCAGGACGAGTGTCCGACGAATTCGCGACATTTCTGAAAAGTTAATTAATTCGTTTTCGCCCGTTTTTCTTGGGTTTTTTTCTTTGGACAGGGAAGGAGCGCTTAGCCGAAATTGGCTAACGATTTTATGACCTCCAAGGCGCCGTCATAAAACAGGGCCAACTAGCTAGTCCGTCCCACATTTGCAGACTTTCGCAGACAATTTGCGTCAATTAATTGATTTCTGACGGCATCCGAAGAAGGTTTCATTTGATTCCCGTACTTAGTTATGCAAGAAGTGCGTTTATAGTCGACGCAGAAAGGCCAAAGGTGTCCAGAGAAAAGGAGAATATTTTCTTGGCATTGCAGGTTAAGTCCAGAATGGAGTATTCTTCGTTTTTCCGTTTCCCTCAGTTGGGTTCTGTATTCTATTTTGCATGGCAATGTGTAGACCCAGTTTGGAGTCTAAACTTTCCATATTATATGCAAGAACTTTGTGCCTTATTCATGTGGAAACCGTGCGCCTTTCAAGCATGTACTCGAATGTCTATGTAATTTATGAATCCCCTAACAAAGTTGTTTGGCCTGCAAACTGCACTTGCCCGTGCACCCTTTCGTCCTTTTCAGCTTTTCCTGGGCTGAGAAGAGAGGGCATGGTCTGTTGCATGTGCCGGTTTGGCAGGGGAATTCCTTACTTGCAATTCCCCTAGTGGTTCCGCCTTCATCCGCTGACTTGGCAAAAGGTGAATCTTGTGCAGGTACTACGAGTACATGCAAATGCTGCCCACTCGTTGAGCGTTGAACTCGAGCTGTTCGTGGTTTTTGCGCCTATTTTTAGTGGCCTTAAGTTGTGACAATTAGCCCCGAGTCCATTGAACCCACTTCGATTGGGTTAAGATGTTGGGCATGACGTAAAAGGAATCGGTCAAAAACCTGCGGGTCAGCTGCCGGAACTCTCAAGCGATGTGTCAATAGGTTGACAAATCTATTTGGCTTCGGAATAGTATTTACCGGACCAAAGGTTGATTGAACCAACCTGGTCGCTTGGCCAGTTCAAAGCAATCGATTCGAAAAAGGAGGAATAAAGGATTCCCTGCCCCAAAAATAACACGAAATTAGTTGACCTTCAGAGTGTTGGTGGTAGCCAAGTCCTTTTTTTTTCGTCTTTCTTTTGTGTTTGTGTTGTTTCTGGGGATTTGTATTGGTCTTTTCTTGGACCGCCCCAGAAAGTGGCGTGCGCTTTTCATTTCATTTTATTGCCTGCCTCAAAGCTTGACCCAAACACACATACTCAGTGCCTCGTATATGGGAGGAAAAATGGCAATCATTGTGTAAATTGTTTACCTCGACCGGCCAAAGGTGCAAAAAGGAAAACTTGTTATTTTCCCGAGGGGCTTCTCGGAATGCTCTCTCATTTCTCACCCTTGATTTTCCACCAACGCCGTCGCCGTCGCCGGCTTCTTCAATGTCAAGCGATATGGGCACGTTCCTGCAATTTAGTTTTGTTGTTTCACGTGGTCATTATTTGTTGTCCTGGGAAAAAAATATGAAATTAGCTGGGAATTAGACGACTGTCACGCCCACGCAACAGTAAAGGAAAGGAAGGAACTAAATGTAGTCTACTTCTCGACTTGCTTTAATTACAGAACCCGAAATGAGCGACGAAGGTGAAAGTAAATCGGAGCAGGAGGAGAAAGCTGAGGAACCCGAAGCGATAGGAAAAGCTGAGGAAAATAAGGAGAAAGTTGAAGAGAAGGAAGCAACACCAGCCATCCCCGACAGCAATTCAGTCCCAGAAGGTGTAGACAAACTGGAAAATGAAACCAAATCGAAAAACGAAGAACCCAAAAAAGAGGAAACACCATCGCAGGACTTTGCCGCCTACGAGGAGCATATGTCCTATGCAGCCGATGGTGGAGCCATCTATACGGATCCCAGTACCAAGCAGAAGTACAAATGGTGCACCACCCAAAATAATTGGCAACCTCTAAGCGCTGATGAAGCAGCCAGTGCTGGAGATCTCTACGAGAATGAGCACTACAAATGGTGTCCCAAGACCCAACAGTGGTTGCCCAAAAAACAGGAAACAGAAACGGAGCACTACAAGTGGGATGATGAGCAGAAAAAGTGGATACCCAAGGAACCGAAATCTGGTCAAGAAGGTGTTTACGGAGTGGATGAGCAGGGCGAACGTACTTATACGGACAAGGATGGAGCCGAGTTCTTTTGGGATGCTGCCAAGAATGCTTGGTTCCCCAAGATCGATGATGACTTCATGGCCCGCTATCAAATGAACTATGGATTCATTGACAACACTTCGGCGGGGGAGAAGGAAAAGGCTGAAAAAGAGGCAGCTGAGGCCAAGAGAAAGGAGGAGGAACTCAAGCGGATGACGGCTGAGGCGGAGGCAGCTATGTCCAGGGATCACACGGCAGCAACGACAGCAGCACCAACGGGAAAGCGGAAGGTCCAGGAGCCACCAAGTGAGTAGGATTGGTTATTGATTCCTCAACACTTTCCATGACCTTTAATCCCTTTTCAGAATGGTTTGAAATGGATCCCTCGCAGAATACCAAGGTCTATGTCTCCAATCTACCCCTGGACATTACCATGGATGAGTTTGCTGATTTGATGGGGAAGTGTGGCATGGTCATGAGAGATCCCCAGACGCAGAAGTTCAAGCTGAAACTTTATGCTGAAAAAGATGGTCAGATCAAAGGCGATGGCCTCTGTGATTATATCAAGGTGAGTGGTTATTAAAGACAAGATTCGATATTTCTTTGTTTTGTGTTTTTTCAAACTTTATTCATTAATTTACTTTGTTTGCTCCTTAACTAGAATTTATCTTGCATAAATATTATATGGTAATTTTATCATATGTTTTCGTATTTCATTTGTGTTCTGTTTTCTGTTTTCCTCATTCATGATTTCTTTGCTTACGTTTCGCTGACTATTTTTTCTTTTAGTTTAATTCGCTTTTCATTTCTCCGTGTGTAGAGTAATAATATTTAAAATTGGTTAGTTTACTATTAAAATGCATTTACTTGGCTATAAAATTGCTTTTCCTTTCGATTTCATTTCATACCCGTCCTCGCCAGCTTTCAATTTCCATTTTAAACGAAACAAAATGTACTGAAAGTTGCCTTCCGGGGTTTTACATTTTTTCCTTTTCTTTTCTTTTCATTTCTTTTTTTTTTTTGCTTGCTTTTCGCGTTTGAGGTATTAAAAAATACATAAAAATTTACATTTAAACATACTTTAGTTATTACATACATCTTTGTAAAGTATAGTTTGTAACCTAAGAAGTTAGGAAATGGCCCGGTGACCATCCGATGATGTTATCAAAAGATTATTAGTAAATTATTGCTTCGCTGTGCCCGATCCGAGGACACCATAGGCAAACCGAGTGGGAAGTGGGGGAGGCATTGGACTTGGACTGCTGGGGCCATTGACCCAAAGGAGTTTTCCATTCAATCTTACATTTTCTTCACTATATATATATATATATATAATATTTTTGTGGTTCTGTGCTTGAGTTTTAAAAAGTTCCGTGATTTGCATGTGTGGGGTTTATTGGCTTTAAAATTGATTGCTAACTTCTAGTTCGGTTATTAAGGAAACATGCGTGACTGGTTTGCCGTGTTGTGTGTATGTGTTTGTTTGGTGTGTCTTGTGTCCTGTGTGCGGTGAGTGTGGTGTCTATATCCTAGACCTATATATAGTATATATATATTTACTGTACAGTACTAATAGAGCTAGCGAAGTGCATGGAGATTGGGTGTTTCCTGCTCGATCGAAATGCAATTGAAATTTGATTCCCCTTTTAACCGACAAAATGTGTGCTTCGTCGTGATGTTCCTCCTTAATCTTCTCTCTTCTGGTAAATAATACTTTTGCGTGTTCAACTTGTGTTTTGTTTTAATAAAAGCACAAAGAAAACTATCGAAAAGGGATCGACTGGGCAAACGGTGCGTATGTGGAACCAATTTGATCGATATGTCTCGGTTAGTATTGGTTAGTTTTTGGGGCTTGATTTGAAGGAATCCTGACGTCAAGTGGACTTCTTAAAGACTCCTACTCGTTATCATCCAGCCGCATGGCATGCTGTATCCTCTTGAGTTCCTTCGCCTTCTGATCGCGTTCCTTCTTCTCCTTCAGCTGCTTGCGACGCTTGCGCATCTCGATGAACTTCCTCTGGTCCTCGGGACTTAGCGCTGAGATTCGACTGGCATACTCGCGCCTCTTCTCCTCCAACTTGGCCTTGACCTCTTCGTCGGCCAGCTTCTTGGCCGTTTCCAAGCGTCGCTTCTGCTCGGCCTCCTTGGCCTCTTCGGCAGCCCGTTCCTCAGCCTCCTTGGCCTTACGCTCCTCCTCCGCCTGGCGCATGTCCTCCTCCAGGCGCTGTTTCGCTAGACGCTCCTCCTCACGAACTTCCTTGCGCAGGGTTTCCTCTTCTTCGGCCAGTTTCTTCTCGGCGGCCTCACGGAATGCTATTTCCCGTTCACGCTGAAGCTTCTGCTCCTCACGTCGCTGGTTTTCCTCGTGCAGGCGCTGCAGTTCCTTCTGCTCGAAGAGACGCGTTTCCTCTAATCTCTGAAGTTCCAGGCGCTTCTCCTCCTCCTCCTGTTCGCGTCGGATCTGTTCCTGGCGCTCCTCTTCTTGTTTCTTAAGTTGTTCCTGAAGCTTCTGTTCCTCACGTCGCTTGGCTTCATGGGCCTCAGCCAGCTGCTTCTCCCGCTCCGTATTGGCCTGCCTCAGGCGCTCGGCATACAGTTCTTGGAGTCGCTTCTCTTCGGCCACACGTTTGGCATGGTTCTGGCGATCCAGTTCCTCCTGCTCCTCACGTTCTTTGCGGCGCTGCTCTTCGCGTTCAAGTCGTTGTTTGGCCTCCAATTCACGTTGTTTCTGGATACGCTCCAGGCGCTGTTTCTCCGCCTCCTCATCGGCGGCATGCTGCCGGTCGGCTTCCAACTGACGCTGCTTCAGTAGCACCAGTTCGCGTTCGCGCTTTTGCTTCTGGTACTCCCGTTCCTGCTCCTCGCGCTGCTGCTTGGCCTTCAGTTCACGAAGTTGCTGCTCCTGGTTCTCTTGGAGCTGCTGCTGATGGTTTCTGGCCTGCTGTTCCTGTTCTTCTTGCCTAATCCTCTCCTGTTCCCTTTGGTTCTTTTCCTCCTCTTCCCTTTGCTTCTTTTCCTGTTTCTTCTTTTCCGTCTCCTCTCTTAGCTTCTTTTCCTGCTCATCCTTTTGCTTCTTGTCCAGATCCTCTTCAGAGCGCTGACGCAGCTCATCGATTGGGCGTTTGGGGTCATCATGCTGCAAGCGCTGTTTGCGCTGCTCTTCCTCCCGCTGCAATCGTTGGCGTTCCTCCTTTTGGCGACGTTGCTTCTCGCGTTTTTGTTCCCTAGCCAATTTCTGTCGTTCCTGCCGGCGCAACTGGCGGCGACGCTCCCTTTCCCTCTGGCGTTGCAGTTTGCGATCATACTGGGTCATCTGCTGGGGCGTGGGAGATGGAGCCAGGACATCATTGGATAGGTTAACCGATTGCGTAGATGTTGGTGCCACAGTAGTAGAACGAGGATGAGCCCTCTGACGTTGCTGCGCTGGAGGATGGTAGTTCACATCGTTGGGATGCTGATTCTGGTTTGGGGTCTGGCGATTCCTCTGGTTGTTTCGGCGATTGTTATTGTTGCGGCGTCGGTTGGGAATGATCATCTCCTCGTCACTGTCCTCTGCCTTGACACGGCGGTGGAATCTGTAAACAAGAAATTAATTAGTTTTTTCTATTTCTGTTTCAGGTGGAGAGTGTCAATCTGGCGCTGAAAATCTTGGATGAGTATAACCTGCGAGGCCACAAGATTCGAGTTCAGAGAGCTCAGTTTCAAATGCGAGGCGAATATAATCCCGCCCTGAAGCCCAAGCGGAAGAAGAAGGACAAGGAGAAGTTGCAGAAGATGAAGGAAAAGTGAGTAATGAACTTTGGAAATGGAATGTAAACTTAAGTTTATCAAATTTTACTAATATTTATAGATTATTCGACTGGCGTCCAGACAAAATGCGTGGCGAGCGATCAAAGAATGAGAAAACAGTCATTCTTAAGAACCTCTTTACCCCAGAGCTCTTTGAGAAGGAAGTGGAACTCATCTTGGAGTACCAAAACAATCTACGTGAGGAGTGCAGCAAATGCGGGATGGTCCGCAAAGTGGTCATCTATGATGTAAGTAAAACTACTGACCTCAAAGGGTCAAATTCTAACTTAAATCCTTTTCCAGCGCCATCCTGAGGGCGTGGCTCAAATCAACATGTCCTCTCCGGAGGAAGCTGATCAGGTTATTCAAATGATGCAGGGACGTTATTTTGGCCAGCGACAGCTAAGTGCCGAGACCTGGGATGGCAAGACCAAATACAAGTAAGTTTCGAATCTGGGTAGTTACAAATTCAGTTAACTAATTCCCGTTTCTCTTTTAGAATTGATGAATCAGCTGTGGAGGCCCAAGAGCGACTGTCCAAATGGGATGAGTTCTTGGCAGAAGAGGAAGCTGATAAGAAAGCAGAAGCAGAGAAGGAGGCGGAGGAGGACAACTCACCGGACAACAACCAGCTGTTGCCAGGAGATGCCACACCTTAGTTTTAAATTACCTGCGATCATTTTCCCGCGGTTCGAGGATCTCCAGCGCCACCTCGTTGGCCCGCTCGTTCGGATAGGTGGCGTTCCAGCGATTGTAGATCTTATAGCGATTGGGTCCGCTCACCTTTGGCATCTTGTGCTGGCAGATGAAGCGCAACTTATCCGAGCAGGGACGCGCCGACCAGCGGTACTTGAGATTCGGATCGTAGATGGCACAGTTATTATCCAGCGGTTGGCTGTTGGAGATAAGTTGCACATAGCTAAAATTGTTGCTTAAGCGTTAAATCAATCTACGGAAATAAAGGAAGAAAGGAAAGAGCATCGAAGAGATCACTTACGCGGGATCAGTGCGACTGAAGGAGTCGCTGGATAGATTACGGCCGCTCACGCTCCACTGCCAACGGTGGTTGTGATGGTCATAGGTGGCACCCAGCCAGATGGGGCTTTTCTCTAAGGGGTTATGGGAAAACGATTTAGTTTTGGTTTATATCCCATGAAGTTTTCTACTCACCTCCTGAAATCAAATCCTGTTTCTGTAGGAACTGTCTCAGCTTGCGGTCTGCATGTTTGCCCGGTTCCGTGAGATTGGCATTCTTGTCCTTGCAGAAGAAGTGCGCCTCTAGCCAGCTGCTTCGCTGATCTACCAGCGAATAGCAATCGGTGCCAACGCGATGGAATTGCGGCGGGCACAGGGCGTATACGAAACGCCTTGGCCTAACAGCAGTGCCTGTGGCATCGAAACTTACTCCGGCATGAGCTGAGCTCGACTGCAACTGCGCCGGTATTGTGTGAGCAACTAGAGGGCATAATAATAATAAAAAATATTCAATAAATCATCGCTGAAGTTGCATGTGCAAGGCACTCACATAAAGCTAAGATAAATACTTGGCAGCACCACATTTTATGGCTGCCACTCATCGTGATGCCTGCTCCTTGATGCTTTTGTTGATGCGGGGGTGGTTGATCCTGTTTTTTCTTGGCTAAGATGAATCTCTGGTTGCTGGCTGCTCTGCTATTTCTGCTGCCACTTCTCTTACATCGCTCAACCGGATGACGGGCTGTTGGAAAAAAGGGAACGAAACGAAAACAAACGATGAACATTCGTTAATCTCTCAACTCGTCTGCTTATCATAATTTTATTTCAGCAAATGTTTGTTTTATGCAAATATATTCCAATGGTGAAGCCTCTAACAAGTGTTTCCGTTGATGGATGGACACACAAACGCCTCCACACCACAACATCAGCCAAGACAAATTGAGCTGACCAAGATATATACTTATATATATTTGAACAGATTTATTTTATTTATTGGCCCCCATTCATAAACAGTCTTTTTTTTGGCCACGAAACTGGTCATCATCTTTGGGCTGGTCCCAGTGACCACTCATCGAGTGGCTCATTTGGTTGGCCATTGTGTGGCGTTTCAATTAGCACTTTCATAACTTTAACCACCTCGTCAAGTGGCAGACAACCCGGTCAAAAGCCGTCACTGTAGCTGCCACTGCCACTGGAGCTTGTTATTGCATTCTATTTTCAATTTGTTGACACACACCAAGTGCCACTGAAAGTGTGTGAATGTTGTGTGTGTGTGTGTGTGTGTGCCAGTTGCAGTGACCCACTTTTCTACCATATAAATGACTTGAAATGCCGCGGGTTAATCCGCTAACTGTTTTCAAGAGGGTCTTAGATGGGTTTGTCATGGGTTATTCTTAGCACAAATGCAACTTAAGGGTCTTAGTTCCGGCTTAAATAAATTGTTTGTTTATCTTATGAGATGGTAAACTAACTAAGTTTAAGGTTATAACTTAAAAGTATAAGCCACTCCTTAGCTCTTAAACTATAAATACAGTTTTAGGTTTATGAACTTTAAAAACCTTACAACCCCATGTTCATTTCACAGTTTAAATCAGTTTTCGCTTTAAAAACTAAATGAAAAGTGAAAGTTGAAAAGATCTCATGATAAACCCAAATGTAATTAAAAGTTAGGCCTTCTCTGTAAGTTCGACCGTAACATGTTTTTCACCTTTGACATTCCACTAAACTAAACTTAATTAAATGATATATCATTTGAAGCTTTTAGCGACAGGAATACCTGTTTCAATTGCACTTCTCCGAGCAAAATTATAAGATAGATAGTGTCACTTTAATTGAGCCATTTGAACGTGTGGCTAATTCAAAGCCGCCCCTTTCATTTCCCCGCCCCCTGCCCCTCAACCAGCGCACACGTATGCACACGGCTAATCACATATAATTCCTGTAAAATAATTCATGCCCACGAAGGCAAACAAATTAAAGGGGGGAGAAAGAAATGAGTTAAAGAAGTAAACACATGCCGGCCAACTGGATTGACAGCTTCGCCAGACAGGCCGGAGTTGCTGGGCTCTCAGTTGTTGTCTTGGCTTGAAGCCACCGTTGGCTTGTGCCTCTTGGCTTTACTTGGCCAACGGCAATCAACATCGAATTCCTCAACGGTGACGACTTGACATTCATTATAGGTCCGATATGCACTTAAATATATATTTAATTTATAGAAAAATAATATTTAATTGCTGCTTTTTGATTTGAGGGTGTGGTTTCTATAATGTCAGTTTGACAATTGAGTTAATAATGATGATTTCTGAAGGGAAAAACGATATAACAATAGTTAATAGTAGGAAATCATGAGCTTAAGTTAATTCCTAATATTTTCCAGTGCACCGATCTTGGTAAGGTTCAGTGGCTGTAACTGCTGTCTCCGCAGTTGGTTTGTTTACTTGTTTTCTGGCTTGTTTGCTCGACCCGCGATGACGCGATGACGTGAGAGTTCCCGGTAGATTTGGGACCTTCAAGCCATCGCCGATCCATGATTCTGTCAACATTATTACAACTCGACATTCGTTTAAGTGGCTAATAAAAAGAGAGACGGCAGCACCCACACACCCAAGTAGGCCCAGGGAAAATGTCTGCGAGTGGGCGGAATTTGACTGATTTATGACCCACTTCGAATGCAGTTGGCTGTGGGAGCCTCAGACGACATTCAAATGTCGCGGAAAATGATGAAGGGGGGAAATCGTAAGACCTTGATCTTGAACTTGGGCGCGTCGGCAATAATTAAAGTTAAGGCATTACGGCATCCACGAAGCTGGAAATGTGATTTTAATTGGATCGTTTTAACAAGTTTCGGGGAAATAAAATCATAAAAATCACCTAAAAAAGCGACAGGGGAATCAATCAGGCGGGGCCAGCTGAGACCCAAAAAAAAAGTATAAAAATGTGTGTTTTATATTTCTCAAAAAGCCAGATTCTGTGTGTAGAACTAATCCGACCCTTTTCCATAACCTTGTCCAGCCATTCGAGGTTAGAGATAAGCTCATCAGCACTTTGGGTTTTAAGCCTTCAAATTTTAAAAAAAAATTACCTAAGGGAATCGCAATGAGCATTGGGCATCGCATTCAAAAAACACACGTGTGGCCCCCTCATACCAAAAAAAAAGATTCTGATAAATGAGCGAGGGGCGTGCGATAACTTTTCAAGGGGGTTTCCTTTTATTTGGGCTCCGAATTTACATTTATGAGGTGCTATTTCGGTGTTTGTCTGGGAATTAGCATAAATTATAGACTTCCACGAAGTGTTTATGCCTATGCGATGATATATGATATGTAATTTGGTCGTAATTAGAATCGCATCAAAAACAGCGCTGAGAATTTAAGAACTGCGAACCGAGGGAATCGGCTATAATTGAGATCTCTTGAGTGGAGATCATCACCCACTCGCAAAACTGGCTGGCCATCAATCAAAATCCAACCATAAAACCAATTCAAGTTAAAAGCAAAAGTTGAACGGCTTGGCCAGAAACATCTTTGGACTTAACCTCTTCATGTCGGGTTCAATGCAAACGGCTGCCAAATAAATTTGAAAAATATAAACAGCTTAGAGATCGGCATGCGGCTTGGGAAGTGGACAAATTGGTGGCATTAATCTTGACCATGTCACCATGTATCTACTATGTTGGGGGAGTTCCTTCTGGCCAGCAGATGTCGTAATCAATTACCAGGGGAGATTCAACCCGTTCTTGGCATAATTAAGTTGCCAAACGAATTTGCATAGATTTCATGGGGCTGCGAAACAGTAAACAAACACTAAAAAAATCAATAGCAAATTGTTGGCTGAAATGCCAACCAGTTTTGCGGCTTAATTAAAGGTAAATGTTTTTGGTGCGGTTAATTTGTAGCCATAGGAAGTTAAACATTTATAAATACAACAAATGGTTTTCTTTTCGTTTCGCCTCGCTCTGGCTGTAGCTCTGGCTTAATTAATTTATGCGCATTTCATTGATTTAAATGCAATCACAGTCGGTCGCCACACGAAAATAGTTTCGGATTCAATTCGAAAACCGGGTGTAAAATGTTGCCAATAAATTGCACTGCACTCTTTCATCGTCTCCGACTCTCTATGTAAGGATAAAATGTGGAAAATCGTCGACGGGCAATATAATTTATACGCATCTTTGCCAGATTCCAACCAATCACTAGCTGGCTCTTGCAATGAAACGTAGCCGAGAAACGTTTTCACAGCTGCCATTTCTGCTATTTTCCCTCAAACCTTCCCTCTACCTGTGTGTGCCAGCAATTGCCAGCATTTTCATGGTTCACCTGTGCGGAATCTGTCGGTGAGGAGCCAACACGTACTGGCTGCTACGTCTGTGGCTGTTACTCTGCTATCTCCGCATCTGTCATGCCTTTTGACTGAAGTTTACCTTCTTTATTCAGCCCTCAACCGTTGGTCTTTGCTATCGTCAGCTGGCAACTTTGTCCTCTTGGAATTTCCGAGCTGTTCACTGATACACATCTCAACACCGAGCTAAGCTTACACTGAGGGAAATTATCTATCAATTTGATAAGTTTTCATAAACTAAACTAAGCTATATTTCTGATCTGATAACTATAGCTTCTTTCTGTGTACAATTTGCTATACCCTTCACTGGCAAAAACGAGGAAAGTGAAAGTCATTTAGTTGCTGACAAGTCATTGTGTCTGTTGTGTGTTGGTTGCTTTGACAGGACGATGGCACTGCAGGGCAAAGCAACGGCAATGGTCCCATGCGGCGTATACGCGATATCAAGTATACGCAGTGCCAGGCCATGAGGCTGCACTTTTCAATTGAATTTGAGTGCATTTAAAGTTTCGTCTATGTTTCTACTGCCGCTGCTGCTGGTGCTGCTGCGGGCCAAGTTGAAATTAATTTAAAGTTTCGCCCGCCAAAAAAATGGAAACTTTGTTAATGAGTTTAGATGAATTTTAAATGGATTCCTTCCGGTTGAAATTCTGGCACTCAAATGGAGCAAAAGGAGAACTCCAACTGGAGTCATGGGGAGCAGCATTATAAATTAAAGCCAAAAATCTTCATTCCAGCTTACAGTCATAAATAACATTTTTGGTAGATCTGAAGATTCCGTGGAAAAGCAAAGGCAATTCATCAGAACTCATCACAAATCAAATCAACTGCAATACGAGTCCCAGAGACCAACCTATCAATCATTTCTACCTGCTTGGCATGCCCACCTTTCGGGGTCCTACCTCAAAGTTTATGACATAACTCAGCCGAAAGCTCTTGGGGTCCCCCATTCCATAAATATTCGCTTCAAGTTCGCCTTTTAGACTCGCCGCACGTACTGGCAATTCCGATATTTTCCACACACTCTGATTATGTATATATATATATATCTCGTAGATATGCATTTCGTATTGGTAGACAACGTCATCGACTGAATAAACTTTGAGATTTGCATTGGGCGCAGGCGCCAGCGGCTACGTCAGCATCTAAAACACGTACTCGACCGACCGACCGACCGACCGGCAATTGGAACTCAGTCAGTAGACTGAAGTGATGTCATGCCTCTCGAATTTATTCCACTTCACTCGACTTGCCGGGTGTCCCAGCCTATCTGACACTATCAGTACGTACACGTGTAAAAAATACGTCGACCTTTATTTTTGGCACACGACATCATCTCATTTCTCACTGATTGCAAGATTTCTAGAAAATTTGTCAACTTTATGAATGGTCTACTGATAACCTAAGTTCGCAAAGGGGGAACTTTGGCTTTGAATTATTTCTTTTCTACTCATCGCTCGATGCTGTGACTATTTGTACTTATAAAAGAGACATAATTTGCTAAAAATAATATATTTTCTTGCAGTGCACAAAGCCATGTGAGCCAGCGATGATGTAAATTCTGCTAAATCGATCTCAGCTCTGAAGATCGTTTTTTTCCATGATATCGTTCGTTATTTTGTGTGCCTATTTCATTGACATAAAAATGTCACTTGTAGTATTTTTGTAGAGCTGTTTATTTACCCCCTCACCCCCAACTCATACAAATATTTTCTATTAATTTTTTTTCAAGTTCAAACCTCGAAAAAGTTAACAAACAGAGAGGAGGAGGAGAAGAAGAAAAAAATGCGAATGAGCAAATATTTGTGGAAATTAAGGCTGGCAAAGCAAACAAATTTTGCGGAACTTTGCTTTCAGAGTTTTCTGTTTTTGGTTTCTGGTTTGGGCTAAATTGTTTTGGCGATGTTATCCGAGAGTTGGCCAAGCCAGTTGACCATTCAGCTGCCCATTGTTGTCTGAGTCCTCCTCCTTCCTTCTACCCCCAAAAAACCATCTCATTTGCCTGGTGTATTAGAGAAGCTGGAGAGTTTGTGCTTGTTTGCAGCTTTTTTGGGTGGCAGCCCACAAATTTGTCGGCGCGTGTCGTGACACACACTTGACACTGCCACCCACGCACTGCCCTCTTGTTTTTCCTCCTCCTTCTTCATGTCTATGTAATTGGCTTCAATGCAGGCACACTCAGGGAAAAAAAGGGAGTTTGTTTAAAGTTTCCTTTAAAATGATTTCTTTTTCTTAAGAAATATTGATAAGATCAGAGAAACTACTGACAAATCATTCTTAAATCTGCAGTTTAAAAATGTTTTCATTTTTAATCATGTTTAACTTCAAATTTAAGTGGCTTTTCTTCCCAGTGCAGTCTCTGCCTTTCGTTATCGACGCACGCATTTGTGAGCCAAGTTAGTTTCCAGTTGCCTTCCGCAGGCCAAAAAATTCCAAAGGACCTAGAAGCTAGGTCCTAGTGCTGGTTTTGGTTTTCGTTTCTGGCTTTGTTCCCTGAATCTGGATCTCTGGTCCTCTTGTCCTGCGTGTTCCTTCTCTCTGTTCTTGGCGTTCGTGTCAACGATAAATCAAAAGTTTTATCTTGTTTGTTAGCCATTCCACCAACATCCATATGAGTTGCCTTGAAATCATTTTCAGGCTGGAAAATTTGTGGCTTCGCTTTTGGCTTTTTGTGCGTGTGCAGCAATTTTTCGTCTATTCTTGCACAAGGGAAGGCAAGGGGTTAAGACTTGCATTGTGTGATGCTGTGAAGGCGGTTTAATCGCATTATGAAATGTTAGTTTATTGCCTGGGCTAATGTTGAACCCATGACGTATACGCAGTGTTGACAATGGCTGGCCAAGTGGAAATTTGCCCGCCTGTTTACTGATATGTTGAATTTCTGCAGGACATAGTATTCCCTTTTTCATGATTCCCGAGGCCACGGCATGCATGCAAAATGATTTCCGTTTGACTGTAATTTATAGGCAACCGGTCTGCTGCACTCGTTTTTCCCCATTTAACTTTCCACCGTAACTCCTCATATAACACCCCCTAAAAGCACATCACCCCCTGCATCCCCTTTCCATTTAACCATCATTCTGACATCCCAGCCAGATGCTGCATCATCATATCCCCAACCCCCTCCCCACTGTACCCATTCCAATTTTGCGGATGCCATTTGTTGACTTTACGGCTATGCAAAGTCTGGCATATTTATAGATTGAGTGGCAGAGTGGGCGTGGCATTAGTTTTTTTTTCTTTTTACTAATGGCCCGGCAGATGATGCTCTCGACACTCTGCTAGCCGCTTTTGGCGTTTTTTAATCTATATTTAAATTTTTCCAGCACGAAATGTCAAGGCGAGCCATTTAGAATCGCCACAAAAATCACAAATCAAACTCGATATCTGAAAATCAAATTACGTTCTCATAGGCAGGCAGGCGCAGCGTATATGGTCAAAGGAGAAAAATATAAAAACTTTGACATGCAAATTGATTCTGGTAATCATAATAAAACAACAACAAAAAAAAAAGAAGGAGAATTCATGAAATGACTAAGTCAAATGCAGCTGAAGGTGTGGGGAAAAACTGAATCATCTGCAATTTGAGTCACTCTGCCATTTGGTATTAGTAAAATGTCTGTGACTTTGAAACAAATTGTACAAATATTAGCCAAGTATCAATATTGATTTGAGGGCTAACATGGCATTAAGTAAATTGTGATCGTAAGGCCACAGAAAATACCATTGGATATCATTACGTATGCGCCACGTGCAACGGCATCAGCTTTTCCGTTTGTAAACTCTTATTAATTTATATGCCACTCCAACGCCTTATCGCTAACTTATTGTGGTAAATGCCGTTGCAATTCCCTTTTCACCATAAAAAAAGAAAATGCCACATGGCCGATAGTGCCCAAAGGAATCAGCATAAATAAGTACGGGAAAAGCGGGGCGGGAAAAGCTGCAGCAATCGCCAGAGAAGGAGGCTACGATGTGTGGAAATAAATATAAATAAGTGTAAATGAAAACCGTAAACGTATCCGAAAAGATGAAAACCAAAGTCGCCGCTTGGCATTGCGCAAAATGTGCGGTAAATATTGACAAGAGGGCCAAGAGGTTTTAACCGCCGACCAGCCAGTCGAGTGGGCGGTTTTTTGGTGGCTCAAATTGCATTAGCCAAATGAACTGCACAAATGGCAACCGTATCGATGCTGGCATTTGAATTATATACTTGCATTTACTGGACTGAAATTTATAATGCAATTTCATTGCACATTTGTAGGGCGGGAAAACGGCATTCTTGATTGCGGAAATTGGTAAATAACTATTATAGATTTCGGATTACTAAGGGCTATGAATAAAATGAAATGCAACTTTATGCCAATTAAATTTAATTAATCATTAAATAGACAATTTGATAGGTGAGCTTATGATTTGTTTACATGATTAAAGTTGAGTTAAAATCTAGCAAATTAGATTTACAGATTTTAATTTTTTTTTACTCTAGACTGAAAGGTAAACTAGTACTTATGGTTTGCAAAGAGTCTCACTTTCTATATCTAATCAAAATTACCTTTTGGAGAAGCGTCTTCAGCAGCTCTTCAAATCCAAATTAGCGAATCTGCAATACAGAAACCCAACGATAATCAATAAAAACTCTCAAAGACAAAAGAAAAATATGCAAATTAAGTTCTAGAGACTTTCCTCTGGCATAAATTCTGTCTCAATCGAGGCAGAAAATGTAAACCATTGCGAATGTCTGGCAAAAGCATTTTGACATAAAAATGCAAACTTCTCCATCAGCTAAAAGCGTTACTAAAAATTATATAAAATTGCAATGGAATTTTCTGCGGATCACAGCCACTTGAAAATGTCAGGATTTTCCCTCTATGCCCCCCTTAAACTACCCCCAACCCATCCCTTTGATCTGACAGTTCTTTCATAATTTAAGCAACTGCATTCTGTGGCTTTGTTTGTTTATCTTCGTTTTGGCTTCGACGTCTGTCAGCTGGAAATTTGTTTATCTTGCCCATATACTCGTAGGATACGGATACAAGCTAAAGTTAGGAGCCCAGAAAACTTCTTCTCCCTCCCCCCACCAGAATTCCAAACCAAATTTCTAATGATGCTGCCTGACGGCGGGAAGCTGAAAGCTCTTTCCAAATGTTGCTTCTACTTATGCACGTTGAACTGCGTAATTATGCTTAGAGAAGGTTTCTAGTTTTTAGCACAAATTTAGCATTTTTGTGTTTCTGGAGCGGATGAGCATGGCCTAGCAAGACGAAGACGCGGGGTCGGGCAACCTGATATCGCATAAATTTGCCGCCAGCTTTTTGAAAAGTTGATTTGAATTTAAATCGAATCGAAATCGGGACAGACTTTAGACTTCCCCATACGCCGACTGAGAGAGAGAGACAAAATTGAATTATTAAATGTGCCACGAAGAGCTTCAGAGTCTGCTTTTAATTCCCAATTTTGCACATAAAAGCCCGCCCCTCACTTGAATTGATAATTTATTAAATTCCGTTCGACATAATTCTCGTTTTGTTTGGCCAATAAATTTCAATTTGGTCAAACCGAAAAAAAAATAATGAAAAATAAAACCAGTCAGGCGCAGCCTCAGAAATTGTGTCAATTGAAAATAATAAAGTCATTTAGATGGCTATCTTCGATTTTCCCTTTCTTTCCCAGGCTTTGTGCTATTGTCACCTGGCCTATGATTAGATAGGCGGTACAAAACATGCCAAATGCAAATAGAAAGTGAGTCTGTCTGGCAGTCTGACTGGCCTTAAAAGTACTTTTGACAACTTCATAAAAGGCTAAATTGCAACATTGTCTATTTGACTATCGCAATCTTTTGCCATTCGATTTGCATAAACAAAGTACAAAGAAGCTTTTCCCAGAGCTTGGTGAAAAATGCAAACAACTTCCTTTCCGGGGGGATGGCGGGTTGTTGGGGGAGTTAGGTAAAAGTTTTCAGGGCAGACAAATGTCGAAGTGCAAAGAAGTCAACAACAGAACTTGCAAAGTGCAAGTGCCCTAATAATATCCAAAAAGCAAACACTGACAAGAAAGAGTTCTTTGGGAAGTAGATTTTGAGATGCATTTTGTATATGCAGCTTAGTCAGTTATATGAACTTAACTTTGTAGAAGCTCTTACATCAGTAGAAACTTAAACTATTTACTATTTTCTATTATATCAGAGAAAACCGCAACTTAAAATGATTCATTAGAGCGTTAAGTTTTTATGTACTTCCAGGCAATCAGTATTGGAAAAATTCCTGAAACTCAGCCAAGTGTAAAAACTTTTATGGTTTTCACAAAACGAAACAAAAAATCTATCAGAGGTTTAAGTCAATATGTAATATAACCTATTTTCATTCCGTTTTGTTTTTCTTGTTAACTGATAAGCAGATAAGAAGACGACATATCAAAATTTGCTCACTGATTTAGTCATTATTTGCTCATGGAAGTACTTAAAGATTTGTGTTAAATGATTTCTCAATTCGAAAACACACAAAATGCACTTTATTTGTGGCACCTGCAGTGCAATGGCAACTCGTTTTCCCCGTTGGCAATACAATAAGTTACAGTAATTGTTATTGTTGTCGTTTTGACAATTTAACACAATTTGACGGGTTGACGAACGCGCTTTGTGTCTGTTTGGTAAATTGGCTTCCGTGGGCTGACTGGCCATTCATCAAACGTGGCCCAAAACCATTGGCCATCTGGCTTTAATTACGCAATTTTGCATTGATTGTGTCATTAGCGTTTTGTTTAACCGGCAAAAAGTCGTGCAAACGTTAGATTTTGATTGTCCTGACTTCGGGTGATCGTAATGAGGCCTTAACTAAGTGATCATTATCGAAAAGTGATCGCCAATCAGCAAATTTATACGACTTTTTATGGGAATTTCTTGGAATATAGCGTGTTTTTTTTAAGCACTATTAAAAATCTCATTCTGTTAGATATTCTACCAAAATAAGTTAAGATTTCAGCAAGATCAAAGGTCAACTGACTCCGTTAGCCAATCTCTTTGACTCCACAAAAACGTGGCTCAACCTGTCGATGATTTCCGTCAGTGGCCTGTCATAAAGATAATGCCGCCCTCGGTCAAGTGATTGCTTCCAGGGAGAACAGAATCCCCCCAAAGATCGTGCCATGGAATCTGTGAAATCCAGAGAGTCTTTCGCCAAGATGCCTTACAGTCTGCGTGGGCTTAACGGTTCCCCAAGACAGCTGCAAATGAGGATGAGGAGTAGGAGAGTCAATGGAGGAGCTGAGATATCTCAATAGATTTATCTGAGCTTTGGAAACTGGAACAATTTGTGGTGCTTTATGCTCCCGACCGACCGATCAGCCAGCCGACGGGGCAATTTGCACCGGGCCTTTGGCCAAGACTTTAGACTTCCACAGTAAACGTAATCGGCTGCTCAATCAATTGGCTGCCAGTTTGTTCAACTGTCGTTCGTCTCTCTGTTTGCCGATTTGAGCTCCAAGCTTATCGAATTAATCGTTCGAATTAGCCACGGACAGCTCAATTTGCTTCGAATGCACTTCCCCTATATGTATGTATTTACTATATACTCTATATAGATATATAGTGGTATGTAAGTCTCTTGGCTGGTGGCTAAATTGCAGCAATTATTTTGTTTGTCGTCTGGGCAAACAACTTGCGAAGCCGGGATGTGCTCTCCATTCTTGTTAATTATGAATGAATTTATGCGACAATGGGCGCAACCGCAAATGCGAGTGCATCAATTTGCATGTCAAGAAAGCGGATTCCATTTCATTATTGCCACAGAGAGAGAAATCTGAATAAAAATGGATGTTTGTGAAGGGTATTGTCGGGGAAATACGAGGTGTGTTCAAAAAGTAAGGTGACTCTTCAAATTTCGCGAATTTCAAATTTTTCGATTATCGATTTTTTTGTTTTGTTATATTGGTACACTCTTCCCTAACATCTGTACCAAGTTTCAATGGAACATCCTCTTTTGTTTGGTTGTGAGAGGCGTAAAGTTACAAGTTGTTTTGCGAGCTCGGCGATTTTTTGCTATCGAAAAATATGGATCAAAGGATTTGGATTTTTTGGCCAAAAACAACACCACAATAATGCCTCAGCCACCATATTCACCGGATTTGGCCCCATGTGACTTTTTCTTGTTCCCAAAACTGAAGATAATCGAAAAATTTGAAAAATTTGAAATTTGAAAAGTCACCTTACTTTTTGAACACACCTCGTATAACTTCTAAAAGGTTTCGATAATCGAAAAATTTGAAATTCGCGAAATTTGAAGAGTCACCTTACTTTTTGAACACACCTCGTATGAGGATTATAAAAAGATAGTGGAATTAATCACTGAAAAAAGTTGCTTAAATATTTTTAATGCTTTTTTACTAAAATCCGAAATCATGCTCTCAGATATCTTCTTTAAACTAGGTTGTATTCGAATGTGAGGTAGACAAAAATGTAAATTTTTAAATTCAAAATTCATCACAAGGAAATCCTCATAAAAAGTGAAACCAGTTTGGTAGAAAGATTTATGAAAAATACATTTTTTTGGCAACAAAGATTGCTTATTAAGAGTTATATTCCGTAAAGATTTGATACAAATTATACAAACAACAAAAAGTAATGCATTAATAAACAATTTCAAAGTCATAAAACTTGTCCACTCCTCAAACTAATATTAACTGAACCACACTTGATGAATATTGACAATGCAACTTCAAACTTTATTAGATTTTAGTGTTTAGATTTTAAAAAGCCAGTTAGCATTCAAATCAAATGCTATTTTTGATGAATTATTCAGCAGTTAAGATACTTTTTTCCTCTGTGGGCCTTAAACGGTAGCGCTTAGAGGCAAAAACATGAGATTTTAGATACGGGCGAGTTCTTTGTACAAATGTCAGCCATGGAACGCCCACAATGCACGACCGCCAACATAATCCCCATCATCTATGTACATCATCATCATGACGGAGATCGTAAAAAACGAGAAGTATAAAGATTGGCGGAGGGCGGGGGGTCTATATGGGGATTATGGTGGGAGGCAACAATTTGTTCAATTGCAGCGGCAGCCTCTTGGGCGTCACAAACGCGAATCTGTCTGCATCTAAAGTACTATTTCCACTCTGACACAGTGACCTCGTGCCGAAGCTTTTCCCCCCTTCTTTTTTTTTTTACTTGGTTTTTCCTCTCTCCATTCTCTTTTAGCGCCGTTTGTTTGGCTTATGACTGATTATGCCTCACGTTTTGGCCGGCTAATCTATGACAGAGTCTGGAGAATTTGTCATCGGCCAAACAATGGCTCCCACTTTGGTTTTCTTGGAACCAAGTCGACTGCAAATATTTGCATAACTCATTAGGAGAGATGTTCAAGATACGAGACCATGTTAAGTACTTTGCAGTGGCTAGCGATCGCATAAAATATTGTAATTAGTTTTCGAGGAGTGCCGGGGGAGGCACTTCCCTCCCAATCGGTGGTTAGCTGCTGGTCTTCAGTGCTCAGCCTATTGGAAAGATTGTGTAAATTTGTTAAGAGCGGAGGTGGCTTGTTATTAAACAGTAAACCGTTATATGGAAGCCTACTGTTTGCTTATAAAATATTGAATTATGTTAATTTATAATTTAAATATCAATAGAAGAAATATTTTTATTAATATATGTGATCTGAATAGAAAAACCTTTTTATTTATCAGCTTTCACAGTTGCCTAAAATTTCTAACTAGGTGGCAGTCCTAATTTATCTCTGCAAGCCTATTTTATCGATATGTATCGAATATTAGACCTGCCAACTCCGGCTTCCCACTTTTCCTGGTCAAAGTTTGACAGTCAAACTTCATTCCTAAGGCAGTTGCCGACATTAGCACATTTTAAAATCTAACAAAAATGAATGCCTACGAAGAGGCTTTGTCTCAAGCTCTTGATGAACTTTTGGCCATGAAGAACTGCGAGGTGGTAGATGTAGTACTGCGCCAATCAATGTTGGAACTTCTGCGAGACAGTGAGTACCCAAAGAAGAAATCTAAAATTGCAATCCCAATTAACCATCGGCTTCTTAAAGAAATCCGTGAGATTGCCGTTCGGACCACCAATTTGTCCAATCATGCTGGTCGCACTGCGCCCAGTTACTTTGATCTGGAGCGAGTTTTTGGCCTGATGAAAATCAATGCGGGCGACCTCAAGGCCACTGCCCAGCGTCATTTGGAAACTGGAGAAGTTGTAGAATGTCCAGCACCGCAGACACTTGATCAGGATTTCCACAAAGGACCACAGCCAATGCTGACTGCCTCGCGTCCCAGGGAAATGGGCTGCATCACCCATATTCCCGATTATTTTCCACCATTTCCCGGGGCGCACACCTACAAGAATACGGTTATGGAGCAGGTTACCGATAGAGGCTATATAACCGTTAGAAATCGTCATGCCGATAATGAGTTGAACATTCAAAAGGCTTTGAATAAATTCTACTTGAAATCCAGTCCCAAGATAACGCTGATCGAAAGTGGCTCAGGCGATGTCAGCGGTCAGGTTTTGGCTCCGGGTCCGCCCAAGAAACCTTCTTTTCTGGATGCCTTGATGCCACGCAATCAGGTCTTTGATACGGACATCTACGAGAACAAGGAGGAGATCACACATGGAGGTATTTATATGGTTAAGGACCACTTATATATATATATAATTTACTCATTGAAAGTAACTAAAAAACCAAAGTTTACATACGAAAACCGAGTTTCTGTTTGGGAATCTATCAGTTCTCAAATAGAAGAAGGTGAAGATCTCACGTTTTCTGAACCAAATCAGATCAGTCTTGTTCGCACAGAATCAGAAAATCAAAATTGATATTGTCTTTCTCAAATCATAATCCTCATTTCTAGCCCAAATCTGCATTTCAGCCACCAGAATACAAAGAACGGTCGGAATATGGACCATGATGACCCAAGTTTTTTAACGCAATTTATGTATAAGATGGATGATTTTATTTATTAGAACGATACATTTCAAGTAGGCCAATACAGTGAAACATTCGGAACATCTTTTAAGGCGCAGAGAGTCGTGACCAATCGTATCCCCAGCCTCCTGTTTTATGGTTTCATCTTAGCATCTTTCGTTGCTGTGGAATGTTGTCAGGAATGTTTTTCAATCCGAGCCCAGGGTCAGATTCTTAGTTTAGGAGGCAAACAGTAACAGTAACGCTCCATCCGTGTTCCATAAGCAAACTGAGGGCTCAACTAAATTCCGTTGCATTCTGTGAAATTCAACTGGATTTAGTAGAGCCCTCAATTTGCTATTAGGACAGGGTTATGGCGTACTGTTACTGTTTGGCTACTAAACATAAAGAATCAGAGTCCGGGTCCGGTTTGAAAAGCGTTCACGATAACATTCCGCACCATTCGGAAGATTCTAAGATGACTTCATAAAACAGAAGGCTGTTGATACGATTGGCCACGACGAAAAATTAAAAATCCATCCGAGGCACTGAAGCGAATCATTCAACGCTTTCTGATCGTTTTTCCCCCCATCCGAGTATATATCATTATGCAACCATCTCACATCACCCATCATAATAACAACTTTGACCTCTCTTTCAGCCCTCATTTGCCCCTTCTTGATGGATCCCAAGGAGCGCCGCTCAGACCAATCCCCAGGACATTTCGTAGGCGATGATGTGGAAATGCAAGAGCTTCATTGCAATGTGGAGCTGGACTCGGCATCTGATGATGATATGGTACCAGTAGCAGATGGAGGAATGGAAGTAGCAGCAGAAGTTGGGGCAGTAGGAGGTGCCGTGGGCATCTCCATGCCGGAGATTAACTGGTCACAGCCGGACTGAAAACTGTAAAACTGAAAAACCGAATTAAACTGCAGCTGAGTAAGAGCTGAAAAGCACACGAAATGTTTCCATTACAACGATAAAAAAAAAGGTGTGAGAAAAATAAATTTATTTCAATTACATTTCATTAAGGACTGCCACACGTTTGCCCCGAGATGCCGAGGTGCCCAGAGAGAGAGACAGAGCCAGAGAGTTCGAAGGAGCAGAGGTCCTGGCATGGAACAGCAGATGCTACTCCTGCTGATGATGATGCTGGTCTTACTCGCCTGCTGAACGGTTTGCGATTCCAAAGTATTAAATAACTTTGTAATTTAATTAACTTTGACGTCGGCATCGTCTGCGCTGCGCCGCTTAACTTTGATTAACGTTTTGCAATTTTTCAACAAGTTTCAACCGAACTTCTTCTCTCAGGCATCCTCCTGGGCGGCGACACTCCTGCTGACTGGCAGAGTCCAGAGCCAAAGGATTGGAACTGTGATTTCTTCGTCGAGCTCGGATTACATGGGATTTGCCAAGACAGAGAGAGGAGTCTGCTTTTTCCCTCCAACTCATCTTCTGCTCGAATATCCCCAGCTATTTGAAATTTTATCTGGCAAAGGGAGGGGTATTAAGGGTTGGGGGAATATTGAATGCAATTAGAGATTTTCATCGAGGTGGGGTGTTTGGTGCCTCACAGGATGACAAGCTAATAATCCCAGGGAATGAGCATAATCACTTGGAAAACTAATTACAAAGGCAGATTAATCAATATTGTATTTCCACGGAAATATATAAATGGAAACTACTGGTTTTTGCCAGCTTTTTATTGCCTTTTCACTAACTGCAATTTAAAGCATATTCATTTTCATTAAAAATCTCAGTTATTGGTTTTTTATTACCTCAATAAATGTAGTTTTTAACACATTATTGATTATGAAATAAAAATAAATTTGCATTTTCCGTGACAGCTGAGAGATCTAAATAATTCAGATCTCACAAGATTTGCCTGGCCTGTTGAATTTGGCCAACAAAATTGTTTCAATAAATAAGTCTAATGACCTGGAAAGATGACGCACTTGCTCTAGATTTTCCCGCTAGATGCTGGCCCTTTTCTGCCCATCATTTGGCTCATCATTTAGTCATCAGCTTTGAATTGGTTTCAACATTTTCCGCCGATGATGATTTTATTTGGCACAGGCAACATCAGAATTTTACGCACAATTTGACTTTGATATTGTGCCAGGGTCGTGGAAGTGGGTTGGATTTTGCCCCGAGAGGGGGTTTTCTTTTTTTTTAAGGCGTTTCGAGGGGCCAAAGATCAGACAGCTGGCAAACGCCGGCTGTTTGCAGGCTGCTTTTTCTTGCCAAATTTTCCGACTTTTCTTAGCTGCTGTTGTTGTTGTTTTTGTTACTGTGCCATTAAAATGCATAAACATAAACATAAACATAAACAACAACGGTACACAAATTTGTGAAAGACCTATAAAAACGAAATTACATTTATGTGGGAAAACATGGCTAAAACCGAGAAACTAGAGTCACAGAGAGAGAGAGAGAGAGAAATAGTAGCCATGTGAAGAAAGGCCAACAAATGTTTTTATTGTTGTTGTTTGTGCCCAATTGCGTTTGTCATTTTAACCCAGTTAACCCATGTTAGCCAATGTGCATTTATCTATGCATAAAGACTTGCTTGTTGTTGTTGTTGTTGGCGTTTCCATTGGCCACAAAATTGCTTTGGCATCTTTGTTTATTTTGCGGTCAACAGATAAAATTCAATTCAACATGAAAACGAGGATGAAAATTATGGTCGCTTTGATTATTATTTTGCGATTTTATGTTTTCAACTTTTTGTGGCCAGTTTTTTAGGGACACGAAAAGAAAAGTTTTTGTATTTAAGTATTAATATTAATTAAGGAAAAAGGGAAGAATAATTAATTAATATTAATAGTATTTTATATTAAAATGTGGTTATTAAAGTTGTTAAAGGATTTAGGGAACGTGAAGCCACTTTTACCCAATTTCAGTTTTTGCCTTTGCCATAACTCTCTAACCTCGATTTTCTCCCTGTGCACTTCTGCGAGCAAGCCTTGTTGACCTCAGGGCATATAGTTTCTGATTTATTTATTCTAGTTGATAAAAATGCGGCCGGGTAAAAAGCGGATATCCTAACGAACGGCGGGTGGAGAAGGTCGTATGGCCATGTTAAAAAAAAAGGCGTGTTCTGTCATAAAGTTCACATTTTCATTTCCGTTCACGGACTTTTCTCTGTATGAGTGTGTAAGTTTTGTGTGTGTTTCGACCATGTTATCTTGTTTACTTGTGAAAACCCTCGACGCACAGGAACCACAGCTACAACAACAACAACACAACAGCCATAACAACAAAAGCCAATTTTCCATAAATCTTTTTTTTTTTTCGCACAGACCTCGTTGAATTTTTACAGCTGCATTTAACCTTTTTCTCTTGACATTCGCTTTAAATTTGATGCCCATGTGTGCCATAAAAAAAAAAAACAAAAAAAAAGTTCCTACCAACGTATATTGCTCATACGCCTCGTTGTCTGAGTGAAGCCAAAACAAATTGCTACCTCGTTATAATTATGATGTTTTTTTTTATACGCCTAACAAGGGGGAGTTTGCCTCGGCTCTCTTAAGCAAATCAATTCAAGTTCACGCTTCTTATTTATTTACATGTTTTTCCTGCCGTTTTTCGGTTTTCCTTTGAGCGGCGCGTGTGTGAAATTTACTTTCCCTTTGCCTTTTCACAGCCTCACTCTCATTTGGCACTGCGGTTTCAGTCATTTCTTCTTCGACTTGGCCTGGCTCTTTATTTGATTTTTATTATCAAAAAAGAAGAAAAAGGGAAGTACAAAGCAAGCCTCGTGTTTTTTTCGCCCTTGTTGGGCATCTTTTCTTCTTTCTCGGCTCGTGTTATTTATGTTGTCTGCCTTTTGACACACATACTCTCGGAAAATGGAGTCGAAGGAGGAAAAAAAAAAAAAAGCATACAGAATAAGGAAAAAGTGCCAGTAAATCGCTCTTGGTTCGTGTTTAGCATGAAAATGCTCCGTTTTCTCATTTGGGAATTACAAATTTCCATGGCCCAAAAGCAACTGCCGAGCCTCATCCATTGTCGGGGACCTTGCCAAAAACTTTAACTGGGAATGTATGATGGGTGGCTAAGGAAAAAAGCAGTCATATTTAGTAATTGATGAGGTAAGGGATACTGGTATTCTCCAGAAACAGAAATAGGTCTGCAGGGCAGTCACATCTTTCATCTACTTTATTTTATTTGTGGCTAAAAAGGGTTAAAAATGAGAATACTTGAGGGATTTTTTCACTTATTTAGGGAAAATTTCAACAAATTTAAACTATAAATTTACAAAAAAAGGAAGCTCTTAAAATACTTGTAATTAAATAATGTAACCAACTGCCATAAAAACTACTATAAATAATACTTTTAGACCCCTACGCACTTTCCAACTTTACCCATGTTATCCTTATCATGCCGACCAATTTTTCTCACATGACTTTTCCGAGAAATAGTTCTGGGAAAACAGCAGCCCCAAAAAAAAAGAAACGCATACGGACTGAAGCCACATCCCTTTTGGCCTATTTGTACGTGTTGTTAGCACGTTCTGTTGCTTTATGGCCGCTTTATTATGTAGCCGTGGGACCTAAGGGGAAGCTCACTTCCTTTTGGCCAGCATTTTCCAGCTTTCCGCAGCTTATGCATGCGTGTGTGTGTGTGCGTGTGTGCCGCGTTTGTTACTCGATATTATGGCGGCTATATAAAGACAAGTGTATACGCGATTATATTTTTAGCATCGCTCTACGTGCGTAACGTGTTAAAAATAAAACAAATTGCGTATACGCCGGTTGTGCTCGCCTATTGCAAAATGCCAGCAGCCACGCCTTCCCCTCCCCTCCCCATTTTGGGGCTTAATTAAATTGATTGAATTTGATTGCCAGCAGTGCCAACTTGGCAAAAGAGGATGCAATTATAGACTCCCTTGGCTCCAGTACCTGTCGATTTGCGATTTCAAATTTTCTCTTCTCCGGCAACACTGCAATTATGCAAATTTTTTTTTTTTTTTTTTGGCAGCTGCACTTGGAAAAGCTAGCAATTTCCCCGAAAATGCATTTCAAGTTGAATTAATAAAGCATTGCTGGAAAAGCAGCAGCAGCCAAGCCAAGGTGGAGGAGGAAAACTTGGTTTCCTCCATCATCGGGCGAAATGGAAATGTTTTGCGAATACCTAATGTGTTTATAATGCCAGAAACGTGCCAGCGTGCAGAAAGTTTAGCATGTCAAAGTAACAGCAGCAGAATGCAAGTCTCCAATAGATTATATATATATATATATGTAGATATCTTGCCTCGACTTCCGTCAGGAGCCTGTCTCATTAGCTTGTCTTGCCAATTTATGCATTCTAAGCAGTTTCACCCGGCCGCCAACTAAGATGCCATCATGACAATGAAAGCCAACCAGCCAACCTCATTTGCCTGGCAAAACAGTAGGGCGGAGGTGGGCTTTCATTTCATAATCACAACAACAAAACTTGGCTCAAAAGCTTGCGGCAAGCTGTCTGGAACAATGTCGGGGTCTCTTTCCAACGAACAATGCTTACTATGATGTACTTATAGTAACCGAATGGATTTAATGCCCAAATAGCCATGAATGAGGCTGCTTGCAACAAGGACAGGCGGCAGGCATGCGCATCTCGTATTTCCCGCTGCAAGGCAACTCGCATGCTCCACTTCAGGTGGCAAGCTGAGTTTCCGCAATCTTTCAAATCGCTTTTTTATTGTGTCAGAAGAAGGAAGAGTTTGCCTTTGTCAGCCACAAATCATTGGTAAAGATCTGTGGTGGGGGAATTGTAGAAACTGAGGATCAGGGGTGGGGATGGTTTGAGATATTTTTAAAGGGTTTTTGGAGAAATTTATGTAAGATTTCCCAGTCAATTGTTTTCCTAATTACAGTTTTCAGGCAATCTAAATTCTCATCTCATAAAATAGACTTCAATTTTGTAATATTTTCCAGAAGATTGCTTAATTATCATTCCAAAAATATGACATAAATTGAATTCTAAAATCTCGAAGCTATAAAAACTAGAATTTCCAGCAAAAATCTGTGGGGATTTG